GAGTAGTATTACTACTCCTTTAGTAGTAGTTGAGATCTTCTGCCCATTTTTTGACTGGGTTTTTTTGTTTGTTTTTCTTACTGAGTTTTATGAGCTGTTTGTGTATTTTGGAAATTAAGCCCTTGTTGGTTGCATTGTTTGCAAATGTTTTCTCCTATTCTGTAGGTTGTTTTTTTGTTTATGATTTCCTTTGCTGTGTAAAAGCTTATAAATTTGATTAGTCCCATTTGTTTATTTTTGCTTTATTTCTGTTGTCTTGGAGACTGACTCAAGAAACCATTGATATGATTTATGTCAGAGAATGCTTTGCCTGTATTCTCTTCTGGGAGTTTTATGGTGTCATGTCTTATATTTAAATCTTTAAGCCAGTTTAAGATTTTTTGTGTGTATAGTGTGAGAGACTGTTCTAACTTCATTGATTTACATGTGGCTGTCCAGTTTTTCCAGTACCACTTGTTGAAGAGACTGTCTTGACTCCATTGTATATTCTTGCCTTGTCGTGGATTAATTGGCTATGGGTTTGCAGGTCTGTTTCTGGGCTCTGTTCTGTTCCACTGATCCATATGTATTTGTGGCAGTACTGTACTGTTTTGATTACTGTAACTTTGTAGTATTATTTGAGGTTTGGGAAAGTTATGCCTCCTCCTTTGTTCTTTCTCCTTAGGATTGCTTTGGCAATTCTGGGTCTTTTATGGTTTCATAAAAATTTTAGGTTTATTTGTTCTGGTTCTGGGAAAAATGACGTGGGTAATTTGATAGGGATCACATTAAATCTGTAGATGGCCTTGAGTAGTATGGCCATTTTAACAGTGTTCTTCGAATCCAAGAGCATGGGATGTCTTTCCATTTCTTTGCTGCTTGTTTTTGTTTTTGTCTGTGCTGAGTCTTCCTTGCTGCTTGTGGACTTCGCTGGTTAGAGTGAGCAGGGCTGCTGTCTAGCTGGAGCAGGCGGGGCCACTTTCTTGCTGCAGTGCTCGGGCTTCTCCGTTGCAGAGCACAGGCTGCAGAGCTTCGGCGGTGGCGGCCCCTGGGCTCTGTCTAGAGCGTGGGCTCAGTAGCTGCGGCACATGGGCTTCGTTGCTCCACAGCGCGTGGTCTGGGACCAGAGACTGAACCAGTGTCCCTGCATTGCGAGGTGGGTTCTTAACCACTGAACCACCAGGGAAGCTGCTTTCCATTTCTTTGAGTCCTCTTCAGTTTCCTCTATGAATGTTTTATAGTGCTCAGCATATAAGTCTTTTACCTCCTTGGTGAGGTTTATTCCTATGGTGCTTTTTTTTAGATGCAATTTCAGAAGAGATTTTTTTTTCCCTTGTTCTTTCTCATATTTCACTGTTAGTGTAAAGAAATGTGACAGATTTCTGCATGATAATCTTGTATTCTGATACCTTGCTGAATTTAAGAGTACTAGTGGTTTTTATGTGTGTCTTTAGTGTTTTCTAATGTATAGGAGTATCATGTCATCTGCATCAATGCTGGTTGAATAGAAGTGAGAGCGGACATCCTTGTCTTGTTCCAAATGGCAGGAGGTCTTTCTGCTTTTCAATGTTGAATGTTGTGTTGGCTGTGGGTTTGTCATAAATAGCTTTTATTATGTTGAGATATGTTTTCTCTGTAGTTATTGTCATGAATGGATAGTGAATTTTATCAAATGTTTTTTCTGCACCCATTGAGATGATAATGTGGCTTTTTGGGGGTCTTTCATTGATGTGATGTATCATGTTGATTGATTTTCATATGTTGGACCATCCTTGTGACTGTGGGATGAATCCAGCTTGATCGTGGTATGTGATCTTTATGTGTTGTTGGATTCAGTTTGCTAATATTTTGTTGAGCATGTAACAGTTTACATATAATTCCAAGGTTTATAGGATGGACATCTGTGCTTCTTAGGTTACAGAGTAAAAGAGGACCTGAGTAAGGTACATCTCTGAAGAACCTCAACTTTTATGGATGGAGCAAAGGAAAGAGATCTGGCAAAGAAGACTTAGAATAAATTTTATACTTGGGTTGTTTATGGTACATATACACAATGGAGTATTACTCAGCCATAAAAAGGAATGCATTTGACTCAGTTCTGATGAGGTGGATGAACCTAGAGCCTATTATACAGAGTGAAGTAAGTCAGAAAGAAAAAGATAAATATTGTATGTTAATGCATATACGTGGAATCTAGAAAGATGGTACTGATGATCCTGTCTGCAGGGCAGCAGTGAGACACAGACGTAGAGGACAGACGTGTGGACACAGGCGGGGAAGGAGAGGGTGGGGCAGATTGAGAGAGTAGCACTGAGGCATGCACATTACCGTTTGTAAAATTAAACAGCCAGTGGGAATTTGCTGTATGATGCAGGGAGCTCAAACCCGGTGCTCTGTGACAACCTAGAGGGGTGGGATGGGTTGGGAGGTGAGAGGGAGATTCAAGAGGGAGGGGACATATGCATACCTATGGATGATTCATGTTGATATCTGGCAGAAGCCAACACAATATTGTAAGGCAGTTATCCTCCAATTAAAAATAACTTAATTTTAAAAAATTACGCTTGATGTAAATTTTATGTTGGGTGTTAAGCAGAAACCAAAAGTAGAGAGGGGTTCCAGAAGAGGGACTAGTCAGTAGTGGCAAATGCCCCTCAGTGGCAAGTGCAATAAAGAATGAAAAGCGTTGATTGGATGGATTTAGTAATTAGGTCTCCAGTGCTTTGGAGAAGCAGTGTAGAGGCAATGGTGAGAGGAGAAGCCAAACTACAGTTAATTAAAGCATTAGTGGGTGGTAAAGAAGTGAAGTCACAAAATGTACACAGTGTTTTAAAGTAGTTCCGTTATGGAAGAAAAGAGGTAAGATAGTGGTTGGAGTAGAGAGGCATGGGCAAGACCTGAGTGTGTGTAAATACTGATGGGGCCATCACTAGAGGAAATGGGGGACAGGTTCTTGAGAAAGTGATGGGTTGGGTATGAAATCCATAGCACAATTGGAAGATGTCATTAGGAGAGTGAACATTGTAAGCAGAAGGAAGGAAAAAAGAATGAGTGTTAAAACAGTGTGTGTGTAGGCTTAGTGACAAGAAGTTGGAGAACTTCCCGTGTATTTTTTTCTCTGAAGTAGGATGTGCAGTTATTTATGTTTTGAATCATAGAATGGTGGTTTAAAATTACCAATACCTTGTCAATACTGCAGGTTATGATGTGGATTTATATATGTGTTGTATGGGCTTCCCTGGTGGCTCAGTGGTAGAGAGTCTGCCTGCCAATGCAGGAGACTTCTGTTCAGTCCCTGGGTAGGGAAGATTCCCTGGAGAAGGAAATAGCAACCCACTCCAGTATTCTAACAGAGAAGGCAGTGGCACCCCATTCCGGTACTCTTGCCTGGAGAATCCCAGGGACGGGGGAGCCTGGTGGGCTGCCGTCTGTGGGGTCACACAGGGTTGGACACGACTGAAGTGACTTAGCAGCACCCAATATTCTAATCTGAGAAATCCCACGGATAGAGGAGCCTAGCAGGCTGCAGTTCATGGCATCGCAAAAGAGGTGGATACGACTTAGCGACTAAACAGCAACCTGTGTTGTATATGTATAGATCCTGAGTATTCTGTTCAGTTTATGTGATGATAACACAAGTTGAGGGAGGTTTTTTTTAAATGTTTTATCAGATCAGATTCCAAGTTCTCTATGACAACAGCACCCCTGTTCTTGGTTTTCTTGTTTTAAAAAAGTTTTTTGTTTTTTTTTGACCATGCCACAAGGCATAGTGGATCTTAGTTCCCCAACCAGGGCTTGCATGCACAGCCCCTGCAGTGGAGGTGCAGAGTCTTCATCGCTGGACCCCGGGGAAGTCCCTCGGGAGGTGTTCTCCTCAATCAGCTTTCTGATTTGGTATTCTGGATTATAGTCTTGGTTTTCATGATTGAGTTTTTATGTTCTTTAAACTGTTTCTAACACAGGGCCTAAGAGACTCTGACTAGTAAATCAGTTTCTTGTGCTTAATTAATAATTTTATTCATTTATCAGTGTCATCTGTCTTCAAGATTATTTTTATTTGTACTTTTAACAGTGGTTCATTTATTTAGACTTGTTCCCAAGGTTTGTTTAGTGAAATTTTACACACTAAACTTCCAGTAAGTGCAACTAGTTGAACAGACCATTTAAACTGTCAGTAGAAGTGGGTAGAAATTAGTCACAAATTACTTTCATAGATATTTTATAAATTAAAATATAAATATATGGACATTCGTGGTTTCCCTTCACTTGTAACAAGTTTGAATTACAGAAGTTCAATGATTGCATAGGCAGAGGTTTTTAAATTGACATGTAATTCATGTACTGTAAAATTTATCCCTCTAAAGCATATGCAGTCCAGTGATTTTAGAATTGATTTATTCACAAGGCTGTGCAGCCATCACCGTGTAAGTAATCATTTAATGCAGGGTAATCCAGAGAATGTGGATTTGGGATATCTGTCTTAATATATTAACATTTTAGTTTTTGGAAGACATAGTCGGTCGATCTTGTCATTTAGCCAGTGTTTCTGTGGAGTTTAGATGGAGAGAAATAACGATGTTATTTTTTTGTAAATGTCATCTGTATCATTTGAGCTTTATTTTACTTATGATCCTCTTCAATATAAAATTATTTTACCCTTAAAATATATGTACATTAATCCTAGTTTATCTATTTCCTCCTCAGAACTGTTTTTTTCCCTTGCTATGAAACTACACTGAGACTAGATCTTGATGGAAGATAAGAATTGGTTCTTTGTTAGAATACCAGGTTTATAAACTTTCTTGCCCTCACCTGTTACTGGTAATCATTGCTGAAGTTGCAGCCACTGGTTCAGCTGTCTTTTGCTAAGCTTTAATCAAAGATTGTGATCGTATTTCATACCTTGCTATAAATAGTGTTTAATTATTATTCACTAGTATTTCACAGTGTTTCAAAATGTTTGACAGTGCAGCCTCACCATTTTAATTCTTCCCATGTATTTTTTGTTTTTTTTTTTACAGTACTCTGTGCAAAAAACTTGGTGAAAAAGGATTTTTTCCGTAAGTAAATTAACTTTAAATCTTGTATATTGTATGTAGATTTTTTTTGCAAAGCATTTTCAGAATTGTCTGGTTTAGGGATTTCTCTGTTCAGAAATATACTTACTGTTTTATGAATTCTTTGACTGAGCCTTTTGGCGTCACATTTCTTAAAGAGGATTTTGTGCGCCATAGCCCCTTTCCCTTTATCCACTGAGGCCCCCAGCATGTTTGTGTGAAATGTGTGTGTGTGTAATATATACTGAAGGTGTGCATACTACTAGATTTCTAGAAGAGATCTGAGATTATTTTGTAAACACTTTCCCCCTAACATTTTGTAGAAATTTTACCCATGCCTCCAGGAGTTATTGGACGGCAGTGAAGTCGTTCAGCCTGCTTGGAATTTCCAGAGTGTAGGAAAGAAATCCCTGCCTCGTTTGGTCATAGAAGCTCATAAGTCTCAGACGCCAGAGAGACATTTAGTTACTGTGCTTGCAGTGTCTTTGCCAATCAGTTGTGATATTTTTTTGTGGCTTTATTTAGGATTAAGTTTTGTGAGGGAGGATCCGGAAGTGCCCCTCACACATATTTAAAATCTTTACCCTGTAATATTAGACTTCACATCAGCTTTAAATTTTTGAGTAAAAATGATATAATTTTTTTTTGTAAAAAAAAAAGTCTAAGCCAGCAAAATTTGATAGACAAAATATTTGAAGTTAGAATAGAGAAGTTCATTAGATTTTTAAAGTTCAGGTCCTACCAGCCAGCAAAAACTGGCTATATGCTAATTAATATATGACTTTAATTTTAATTTTCAAGGTTTGATTAAAAGAAATAATAAGCTCTTGATCTATTTTAAATCATATTTAATTCATTCCACTTAAATTTTTAATTACTTCATTCTTCCTAGAGGAGCACCTTAAAGTTTATAAAATAACATTAACTATGTAAATTATGGTATGCTTATATGGTAAAGCAATTAAACAGGATAATTTGGGACATAGTGAAGTGGTTTCCAGTTTATGTACCATATTTCTCTTACCCTGCAGTGTGTCACAGGAGGAGAGGTCAGTGACCTCTCTCCTCGCTGCCCCCAGTCAGTGTTATCTTCACAGTGGCTACTGAACTATCCGCCTCTTCCCTGTAGCCGATAATCTAAACTAATGTGTACTCCTTTTACCTTTCTTAAGGTTGATCCAAGGTAGGATTTATCCTAATGGGACTTCGGAGTGGCCAATAAGATTGGATAGGCAGGTGACAAGGAGAAGAGGGAGTGAAAGTTAGGTGTCGTCTACCCACCCCCATTTACAGGACAACTGCTCTGGTTTTATTTTTTATTTTTTTCATTTATTTTTATTAGTTGGAGGCTAATTACAATATTGTAGTGGTTTTTGCCATACATTGACATGAATCAGCCATGGATTTACATGTGTTCCCCATCCTGATCCCTCCTCCTGCCTCCCTTCCAGTGCTCTGGTTTTAAAGACAAAATCTTCAGTTTTATCTCCTTGCCTTCCTTCCCAAATTCTTTTTCTTCCTCTGGAGTCCCAAGACACCTTCTTCAATAAAGCATCAGATATCTTTGTCTCAGTCTTCCTAGGAAATCTAGAGGAATCTTACTCTAATTCTTTGTGAGCCCCTGAGAGCCTGTTATTACCAATTACATTATCTTTATCTGTCCGTAAGTTTTATGTGAAAAAAAGAAGGAAAGAAGGGAATCTTTCTCCTTTTTATTGGTGTAAGCAATAAAAATTGATAAAAATTCTTGAGTTGTGAGGATGCTTCAGGGATAAGAAAACTAGAGGAAATTTGTGATTATCTTTGAAACCCAGGATGGAGAAAACACTTGATGGCTTGGTGGGGAAAATAGGAAACCCATTTGTGAGGCTTTCAGAAGAGACTCAGCTGGGGATGGAACACCCCAGGTTCACGCTGGCACAGTCCTCCCTCTGTGACAGATATATTTATTTTTGATATGCTTATATGTTGAGGGTTGCCCATATCAATTTCAAGGAAAGAGTTGAATAATAGTTCCTAAATCTCTTAATTAAATTTGAGTGAGAGTGTGTTTTTATTGATCAGAATGCTGTTACCATTGATACTGCAATATAGTTCTTTTTGCTTGTAGGTCAATTTAAGTAATGTTGAATGAAAAATGTAAATTTTAACATGAAGCATGACTATAGGCTGATATTATATATATTTAACTATAGGAAAAAATGCACAGACATGTGTTGTCTTTTGTAATTTGTATAATTTGAGATAATACTACCTTTGCTTTGAGACAGCCTACCTTTTCTGAGAAAAGTTTTGCTAACTCATCTTTTGGAACTATTTTAAGGCTTACTGGCTTTTAAAAATATTACACCCCCACTTCCTCTCAAATTTTGGCAGAAAAAAATTTCAAACACATAGGAACATGTAAAGAATTTTACAGTGAATATCCATCATCTACATTTTGTCGTTAACTTCATCACAATAGTATCTGTTGTTGTTGTTGTTGTTTTCTCTTTTTTTATTGGAGGATAATTGCTTCAATATTGTTTTGGCCTCTACATGTATACAATGGAGTATTAAAGTCACTCAGTTGTGTCCAACTCTTTGTGACCCCATGGACACACCTGTCCTCTGTCCATGGAATTCTCCAGGCAAGAATACCAGAGTGGGTTAGCCATTCACTTCTCCAGGGGATGGAATATTACTCAGCTATAAAAAAGAACATATTCATTTTGTTTTTAAAAGAATGTTTTTATTAGTGTCAAGTTCTTTTTGTCTTTTATGCAACATTTAAATAAAATCTTTGTGTGTAAGATACTTTGTTAAGGTGCTGTGTAGGCCAAATTGAAGTTGCTGAGCTCCAGCACATTTGGTTGAATGTTTTTTCCTCCCCCACCCCAGTCAAAGAAAAAGCTTTATTTTCTCTGCTAAGTAACTCACTTTTAAGTGGAAAATTTTGTCTCATTATTTGCAGCTTGTTAAGTGCATTACTATAGTGAGGAAGTTCCTGAGTTTTAGCTATTTTATATGACTCAGAAATGATGGGGAGAATTGAGAAGTTTTTAAAAAATATAGAAAATAGACACTTTATATTTACCACTAGAGGTCTCACTAACTTGTGAAAACTTTATCTTCTGACTGCATTAGGGGAACTTGACTCTCATGTTAAATTCTTGTAGGATAAAATAATCAGGTAAGTTGAAACCCAGGTATTTTTTTGTTAGGGAAAAAAGCGTGTACTTTGTATTATATAACAGAAGGGAACATAGGAAGGTGAGATTCAGACTTTCATACTTAAATAAGGATCTAGAAGCCACACCTAGTGACTTATGTGTGGCAAAGTTGTTTTTCTTAGTCTTGACTGTTTAACTAGTTAAGCACATCTAAAGGGAAAGCTAGAAATGTGATTTTTTTGGTTTTGTTTTTACTTAGAGACATACACTTGTATGTTTATTTGTTTAGATGGTAGAATCAAAAGAACCAGATAAAATGGATTATAAAAATTAATACGGGACTTCTTTGGTGGCCCAGTGGTTAAGAATCTGCCTGCCAAGGCAGGGGACACAGGTTCGATCCCTGGTCCGGGAAGATCCCACATGCTGTGGAGCAACTAAGCCTGTTCACCGTAGCTACTGAGCCCGAGTGCCCCAGAACCCGTGCTCCACAGCCAGAGAAGTCACCACACCCTGCAACTGCAGAGTGGCCCCCGCTTGCCTAACTTGAGAAAGCCCGTGCATAGCGAGCAAGACACAGTGCAGTTAGAAGTAAATAAACAAATAAATAAAATTTAAAAGAAATACTACTGCAGGTAGAGGGGAAAGTATTGTTCCATTAGATGCATTTACAAATGGTTAGGATTTATTGAAGTACTAATATGAATAGTGCTAAACTGCAAGAAATATATAGTTACACAGATTGATACCTTCACTTGCCAAGGTTTTTCTTGAATACTTAATACTCTTAAATATTTGTCTTCTCTTATTTGAAGTTGCTATATCACAGAATCAGAATTGGGGAACTGGCTAGATGATTTCTGTCTGGCCTTGAATGTTGGCAGATTAGTATCTTGACTTAAAAAATTAGCATAGTTATCAAGGTACAAAGTTTCTGCAATTATCAACACTTACCAGTATTTCCTTTTAGTATTTTCAGCTGTCTCTGGGAAATCTATGCTATCCCAATATATCTAACACCTGAATTGTTGTTTTGGTCCACCTTCTTTCCCTGAATTTTAAAATTCTACTCATCCTACTGTGTGAAAGTTAGAACAGCTTCTCTGTACCTTTAATCTTTCCTTCTGTGGATACCACTAGTAGACAGATGCAACAGTATTTTTATAGCAATGCTCAAAAATCTGAAACAGCTCCCTGTTCTCCACTTAAGTCATTCCAAGCCTTTGTTTTCTGACTTTTACGCCTTTCTTACTAATCAGTCTGATCTCTCCAACGGTATTTACTTTTCACACTTTAGCACAAAGGCTTTTATTAGATTGCTCAAAGCCCTTCAAGTATTGTTACACTCTGCTTGGTGCTCCTTCTGTTTGTTCTTTAGAAAGTGAAGTCGCTCAGTCGTGTCCGACTCCTTGCGACCCCATGGACTGTAGCCCACCAGGCTCCTCCGTCCATGGGATTTTCCAGGCCAGAGTGTTGGAATGGGTAGCCATTTCCTTCTCCAGGGGATCTTCCTGACCCAGGGATTGAACCCGGGTCTCCCGCATTGTAGGCAGCCGCTTTACTGTCTGAGCCACCAGGGAATCCATTTGTTTTTTAAACCACAGAGAAATCCCCTCCCCTCGAAAAGCGAAAAGCGGGGGTAGGGTGGGGAGCCTTGCTCTACTGTTCAGACTCAGATTGCTCTGCTTTCCTGAGCTCTTGTACTCATTGTTGAACCAGGTAGCAAATAAGAGGTATGATACAATGTAATGATTAAGAGCATAAAGTTAAAAACCAGACTGTGTGTGCCTGGGCTTAAGAGTCTAGAGTTCAGACCCTGGCTCTCTACCTACTACTGTGTGACCTTAGGCTAGTTAATTAAGCCCTTTGTGCCTCAGTTTCCTCATCAGTAAAATAGAGACAGTAGTATTATTCACTCCATAGAGTAATTTTGAGGATTAAGAGGTTTAATATACATAAAGCATTTAGAATAGTGCCTGAAATGGTATTATAAGTGTTTTCTTTATAATCAGTACGGTCAAAAACTTATCTTGGGGTTTTTATAATGCTTGGTGTTTTAATATTCTCAGTTAGATAGGAAGCTCTTTTAAGGCAGGGTGTTAAATTTTGTTTCAGTTTCTCATCACTCATGGTAGTTATTCAGTAAAAAACTTTATGGCTAATTTGATTTCTTGGTAGCCTGCGTTCCCGTGTGAAAACTTCAGTAAGCTCTTTCTTTTACTGAGCTACTAAGGGAGACCTTGGGAAAGCTCTGAGAGAGCCAGGTGTGTTTTAAGCATTCACCCCTCAGGGGTTAAAGGGCTGGTAAAGATGAATAATGACTTCTACATTGTAAGATAGTCTCTAGACTTTGGTAGTTTAAGTGAGAGTTTTTGAGACCAGAGCAAGAAAAAAAAAAGTAGGTTTTGATACTTAATGTAGAATTAGCTTTAATCTTAGTTTTAAAATGGACCAGTTTTCATTTGTAGCTTAATGTTAAACTTTTTATGAAGAATGGAATAACTCTTTTGTTTTGTAGCAAATGTTAGTCTTTATATAATTAATCTTCTTGTCAAAATATTCTTTAAACCCTCCCTTTTTTCCCCCCACCCCCCACAGGGCTTCCTGATCCTTTTGCTAAGGTGGTGGTTGATGGATCTGGGCAATGTCATTCTACAGATACTGTGAAGAATACACTCGATCCAAAATGGAATCAGCATTATGACCTGTAGGTTTAAATGGTTTATTTGAAATAAAAACATAGACTCAATATTATTTGATATAGTCTTTGAAAAGAATCACTGAATATGATCTGAGTTTGATCATGGTGTAATTTGATTGTCACAGGGGGATGCAAAACCTGTGTGAAAATGAGGGGTCCTTAATAAGCCTATGAAGAACAAAATGTATACACAGTAAAATATAGGCCGCCCCCCCTCCCCGCCTTCAGTCACATAAAGTATTAATTCACTTTAGGTCAGTTTGTTCAGTCACCAAGTCATGTCCGACTCTTTGCGGCCTCATGGACTGCAGCATGCCAGGCTTCCCTGTCCCTCACCGTCTCCTGAAGTTTGTCCAAGTTCATGTCCATTACATTGGCAATGTCATCCAATCATCTCATCTTCTGTCATCCTCTTCTGCCTTCAATCTTTCCCAGCATCAGGATCTTTTCCAGTGAGTTGGCTGTTTGCATCAGGTGCCCAAAGTAGTGGAGCTTCAGCTTCAGCATCAGTTCTTCCTAGTATTCAGGGTTGATTTCCTTTAAGATTGACTGGTTTGATCTGGTTAGGTCAGTTATAAATATAAAATCAGAAATCATCAATGGAGTATACACATAGGCATTCTCTGTTTCTTATATGTATGATTTCTTCTAAAATTTATTTTACTTAATTTAATAAAAGCATATGTATCACTTTTAAAAAGGCAAATGATACTTTAGGGCTTTTAATGGGAAATTCTCATTCCTGATTCTAATTCTCAAGATAACTGTTTTCAATAACTTTGGCCATTGTAGAATTACCTGCTTCTAGGTATCGTGCTTATTTATAGCATTTGATATAAATATATATTTATCTAGTATTAGGTATTATTTTTAGTTTTTCTACCATATAAGATCATTTAGCTTTTACAGCTGATCTCTCATCCCATTCCTACAGCATCTATATGCCCCTTTCCTTCTCCCAGCCCTCCTATATATAGTTATTTGAACCTTTTTGTTTAAATCATATTGTTCTTTGTTTATGCTATTATGATCATGTAAAATATTCATGACTGAGTCATGGGGTGTGCAATGATTGTAATTTCTTTCTGGACACCTTTTTATTTTTATGAAATTAATAGCTGTCTAACCTTACCATTTGTTTAGTTTTCCATCTATCTCATTGAGCACTTCACAAACTCTCCTACAGTGTATTTGAAATATAGTGCTCAATATTTACTGTGATTTTAATCTGGATACTTAGAGTCTTCAGTTATGGGAAACTTTTCTGTTTATTTAATGATCTATATGATTCCTTCTCCTCCATTGTATTTCTTTTTCTTTTTCTGGAACTCCTGTTATTTGGATGGTACCTCTCCTGAATTGATTATCATTTAGTTGTCCTTTTTCTCCCATATTAAAAAAAAAAGTCACAATAAAAAAATTTTTGTTCTAGTAAAAAATTAAAACCCACATCAAAATGTTTGGGCTATTTTTCCCAGCATTCCTGTTTAATGTAATTTCTGCTCTCCAGTTTTTAATTTCCAATATCATTTTGCTTTTTCACTGTTTTTTTCATAACTTTTATTTCCTGGAAGCAATATTTTCTTTAATGAGAGAAGTTTTGTAATTGTAGTTTTTTTCTGTTGTGTAACCTCTCTCTGCTCAGGTTTCCTTTTTTTCTTTTCTGTTAGTCTGATTTGGGTTTCTGTCTTTTTATATTCAAGGAGAGGCACTTAAATGTTGATTGGAAACTCTCTGCCCATGGGTAGTGCTGGCTTGCTTAGTAGGGGAGTCAGGAGTAACTGTGACATTTTTTGCACAGAATTCTTCCTTCTCCTTCCTGGGGGCTGTATTCTTGATCTGAAAGACATAAGGATGCTAGGAGATCTCTCCATTCACTAGATTAACCCCTTCTCTGAATACCCTGCTTTTATTATAGAATTTCACCTCCTCCCTCAGCTGTGCCTAGTGTCTCCGAGTGCTGCTGTGGTTGAGGATGAACTGGGTTAGGAAGGGATTCGGGAGGTCTTTCCATCCCTTTCATTGATTTACTTTTTTAAATTGACTTGTTGATTTACACTTTCCATTCCTTTTAAACACTTTTCGCTACTCTTTCTGTTTCAACCTCGTCATCACCATTGGAGTATATTAGGCTTACAGTTTGGGAATATTTCAGGGCTTGGTGACGACAATAGTCTCAGGGAGTCTCAGAGAGAGACAGTCATTCAAGGATACAGGCTGACAGAAGCTTTCCTGTTTTCCATATATGTTCCCAAGGTCTCTCTGGGCTTTGATATCCAGCCTCCCAACAGGATGCTTAAGCCAGTGGAGGGGTAGGCTTTAAGGCCTCAAGGAACTGGTATTTTAGCATACCTGTATAGCAGGCTTGCCAACTGGGAAACTGACTTTAGTGTGATTTTTTTGTTTTGTTTTGTTTAATGTTTGGTTTGGGGTGATTTATCTGGTTAATACTTGATTCTGATTCTAGAATTTTTACACATCATGGAGGTACATAGTTACCGAATAAGTTCTGTTTAGGTTTATTTGAAAATTGATGCATGGGTACTGAATGATATTTTAGTCCAGATTTTTTTCATTTGCAAGCCACAGAAATGAAATTCAAATTGGCTTCATTTTTGAAAAGTTGGCTTGTATAATGAAACATATACACACTACTATATATAAAATACTTAACAGGGACCTATTGTGTAGCACAAGGAACTCAACTCAATATTTTGTAATAACTTATATGGGAAAAGAATGTGAAAAAGAACGAGTATGTGTATAACTGATTCACTTTGATATACATCTGAAACCAACACAGCATTGTATATATACTCCAGTATAAAATTAAAAATGTAAAAGTATTAGCTTGCATAATTAAAAGTGTAGGAGGGTAGGCATGCTTTAACACAGCTGAATCCAAGGCCTCAAGTGTGCCTTTTATGTTACTCCTTTAAAAGATTTAGTCCTTACTTAAGTGGTATAGGTTTTTTTTTTATGTGCCAGGTGAATTTTTATATTACTGCTTTACTGAATGACACTTTAAGGTCAAGGTTGCTGGACCAAAAATTTGACCTCTTAGAGTCATTGAAATTTAGGGTTCTACTGATATAATTATTTTATTGTATTTTCGCATGGGATGACACCATGTTAACAATTGGCTGTGGTAGAGCTTCTCCACACTTCCAAGTGTATGCACAGACAAGTGTAGTAACGCTTTTCCCTGCTCTGCTTGTCTGCAGGCAGTGAAGTGAAATCTGCAAGAGTCCTGCTCGCTCAAGGCCTGCATACAGGAAAGAAGCAGGGAAAAAGCGTTACAATCAGCTTTTGTTCTACAGCATTTTAAAACATAACAGGTATGTCAGATTTTTGGTCTGTCAGCCTTGACAATGCCCCTTGAAAATGAACTGAGTATTCTCTGAGGTAATAGGTCATGTCATTGAAATATATTTAAAATGTGACTGTGATAAAAGTTCTTCTAAGGTTTTTGTTTTTGGAAAGAAATAATCATAAACTTCCATAGAATTCTGTGACACTAGCTACTAAAATATTTTCTTTTATTAACAAAAATTGTTAATCTGAAAGTGGCAAATGTGTTAAAGAATATATTAAAAATTCTTTTTAGACTTTATTTTTGAGCTTTTTAAAAAAAAAATTCAGTCCTGTGGATAGATTGAATTCAAAAATATTTTGGGCTATCTAGCCATATTCTAAACATTTGTGACTTTGGACTACAACAGAAAGGAAAGAAAACTTTTATATTAACTACTCATAGTTGCCAAGTTACTCATGCAGTCATTTTGGTTTTTTTAGGTATATTGGAAAGTCTGATTCAGTAACGATCAGTGTATGGAATCACAAGAAGATCCATAAAAAACAAGGTGCTGGATTTCTCGGTTGTGTTCGTCTTCTTTCCAATGCCATCAACCGCCTCAAAGACACTGGCTGTAAGTAGATAACAAGTGCTCTTAAAAATTCAAATATACAAATTTAAATATATATACGTATATGTATATTTTGATGGGGGAGTCAGGGGTCCGAAACCTAACTTCCCCTGTATATTTGAAACATTGATAAAAATTCCTGCTCTAAATTTATTTTGTTGGCTTTTTCAAAACAAATGAAACATGTTAAGAATTCAGTTATGAGCGCCGTAATCAAAATAAAACCAGCATGCAGTGGTTGACGTTGTTCCTTACTGTAACTGGTCAGGCCAGTGTCATGTCTGCTTTTACAGATGAGACAGGAGAGAAGTGAGTTGCTTCTAAGTGATTAGTACCAGAACTGACTCAAACCCTTTTGTTAGTTTATAGTTGCCCTCTTATTAATATTTACGTTGTGTGTTGGGGCAGGGGGTTATTTGAAATGGTTAGATAAAAATAATGACAACAACTAATATTTTTGGATACTTATGTGCCAGCTACTGTGCTGAGAGTTTTACCTAACTATCTGATTTAATCCTTAATATGTGGTAAGTACTGTAATTATACATGAAAAAAATAAAGCTTAGGGATAAATTGCTTAAGAACCAAACTATTAAGTGGCAAGCTAAGATTTAGACTAAAGTGTTTTGAAATTTTTGGAGAAAAAAATAACTGCTTGCTGGCACCATGTATTATGGTTTTTGAAATCTGAGTTTGTCAAAGCTTTTATTGAGACATTATATAAATATTATGTGTGCAGTTAAAATTTTGAACATTTGTTTCATCATTAAACCTTAAAAATTCTTGAAATGACTGGTCCAATTCCCAATGGATTGTAGAAATTTACTGTCACTCTATAGATGTTAGAATCTCTGATACCAACTTATTTTTTTCCTTTTATTATTGATTTGAAATAGATCAGAGGTTGGATCTTTGCAAACTTGGGCCAAATGACAATGATACAGTTAGAGGACAGATAGTAGGTAAGTGTGGAACTGAAAATTATATGAATTTTGGTTTCATTTAAGCTGACTTAAACTCTAAGTCTGACACAACTAAGCAACTTAGCACAGCAAACTCTAAATACCTTTTAAATCAAAGTACAATAACTGTAGCTTTTGTAGCTTCATTGTACTGGCATGAATTAAATAAGTCATGTAAAATTATTTGAATACTGGATCCAGAGTCCAGGCCAACTTAATTTTTTTAAAAAGGAACAAAATATAAATAATGTAAAAAATAGGCTCCACAAAAAAAAAAAAAATAGGCTCCTAATGTGAAGAACTATTGATCCTTTAGGCAGGAATTTTTTTAAAGTATACAAATACAGTAAAACTTTCAGATAAATCAAGATCTTCTCAAACTAGTTTTTGAGTAAGAAAAGCCAGTTTTATACTTTATGGTTTTAAAATAATCTTTACTAACTGAAAAAAAATAGGATGAGGAATAGCAGTATAGCACTGATTGGAGAAAGGGAAAATTGTTCCCTTACTCACAGGCACTTACTGGACTAGTGGGGTTATCTTGAATTGACCCCATTATAAAAAATTTCCTGAGACTTTTCTTAAGAATTGATAGATCAAGATTGATCAAGATACCTAGAATGATGTAGGACACTGAGATGGGCTCCTTTGAAGCTTCTTAAAAAAGAAACATGCAATTGAAATCTTACCGTCTGATTCTAGAGCAGAATTTAGAATAAAATGATTGCATTTTATGTGAGACTTCCCATGCAGTCCAGTGGTTAAGATTCCGTGCTTCGAACGCAGGGGCATAGATTCAATTCCTGGTTGGGAATCTAAGATCCCACATGCTGTATGGCATGGCCAAAATATATTTTTAAAAAAATGCATTATATGAACCTGTTAGAGAGGTTTTAGTTACAGAAAGTACTTGAAAGGCTTAAATTTAGAAGGAATTAGGTTCATGGTTAGGGAGTTGCCAGAGTAGCATCATAACAAAAGCCCTATTGTGGGTATCAGGGAAGTATCTAAACTACAGCATTATTCATAACTCCTGTCATTCTTAGATTGAAAAGGAAGTTAAAAACTCAAAAATGTGGAGTACACAAGTATACCTTTCATATGTTATATTTCAAGTGCACTCATGGACTTTACTCTTGCCCAGAGACTCCCGTGGACAGAGGAGCCTGGTGGGCTGCAGTCCATGGGGTCGCCAAGAGTCGGAGATGACTGAGCAATTTCACTTTCATGCATTGGAGAAGGAAATGGCAACCCAGTCCAGTGTTCTTGCCTGAAGAATCCCAGGGACAGGGGAGCCTGGTGGGCTGCTGCCTATGGGGTCTCACAGAGTCGGACACAACTGAAGAGACTTAGCAGCAGCAGCATGGACTGTGTTGCCCCATCATGATAGGAAGAAAAGGAGTTAGACTCTCCTCCATGAACATAATAAAAGATAGAAAACCTTGAAGGGAAAAATCTCATGGACAAAGAAATTGCAGAATTTAGTAGAAACTAAAGAGTGCGATTCATGGGGTCGCAAAGAGTCAGACAGGACTGAGCAACTGAACTGAAAGAGTTCATTCTTAACTATTAAAATAAGCTAATAAGCCAGATATCTTTTAAAAAGCAGTATTGTAAATTGCAGTAATTCTTTCTAGTTCTATGACTTTTAGTGATGTTTTTGTTGTTTAATAGTAAGCCTTCAGTCCAGAGACCGAATAGGCACAGGAGGACAAGTGGTGGACTGCAGTCGTTTGTTTGATAATGATTTACCAGATGGGTAAGCTAAATTCATTGATAATATCCTTAAACTAATGAGCAGTAAGTTGGTGTTTATACTTTAGAAATTTGCTGATCAGTTGCAGAGTCCTGGTTTTCCTTGTACTTAGAAAATTAGTGAGGAATCTTATCACAACAGATTCATAAAATAAGATATGAATTAATTATGAACGAAATTAGGTATGTTACATTTGTTTTACTTAAAGAATTTTGACTGGGAAAAAAATCAAATTGCTTGACAGATATAAATCTCTTGTAAATATTATATATTCAAAACAAAAGCTTTTTGTTTGATTAAATTATTCAAAACATGGCATATACATGCTGCATCTGAGACATTGCTCTATTTAAAGGGATGGGATACAGAATTTGTGTAATGGTAATTACAATAACATAGTAACATTTATTGAGCCTACAAGTGTTAGTTAGCACTTTATATCATTTATCATTACATGATATACATAATATTTAAGTCTCATAGCATGTGATTCTGGAGTTAGACCATTAGGGTTTCAATCCTTACCCTTCTGTTTACTAGCTTTATAAGTTTAATCCATTTATTTGGCTTTTGTAAACTGGTTTTTATTTATCAAAGAGGATAATGATGGTAGTGCACATGCCTTAAATACTTGTGAGGATGAAATGAAATCATTGATGTAGCACAATGCTTACATACAGTAAGTGCTTAATAAATAATTAGCTACTATTACTACTACCATTACTGCTGCTACACCCTCATGCATTTTACAGGCTTAAGAAACTGAGACTCAGAGAAGTTATGTATTTTGCCAAAGGCCACATAAAAATGGCAGAACTAGAACACAGATTTAAGTCTTGATTCCGAAGTTTATGCTTTTATCATTGTTCTCTATTTTTGTTTGATACTAGTTCTGAAATTTTACAGTTTTATTTTTAATTTTCAAAGTATTTTTAATTAACTTCAATGAGGTATAGTTTACATGTGTAATAAATTATATCCATTTTAAGTGTATAATTGATTTAAATTTTGATTTAAGTTATTTTCACATGAAATTTCAAATCCAGGCTATGGTGTTTACTCATTTTGTGTAAACTGTTAAAAATTGCTATAATTTGAGTCTGTTTATAGATCCTTTTAGACTCTTGATGTACCTGTTAATTTTTTTGGATGTGAGGTGAATTATGGTACTTTTGAGAGAGAAGTTTAGGATGAAATAACTAATCAATATTGAGAGATTAAAAAGTGTAAGGCTTATTATTCTAAATTTGTTCTACATCATTGTACTGTAATTGTAATCACGGGGAGGGGGGAAACCTGCAAGTTTCTCTTTATTTTCTATTTTTTTGCCAGTGGCTTGGTGGAATATTAACATTAATGTAGTTACTTATCCAATTTTTTTGTTATATTAATTAATAAGATTGAAGAAGTGAAATTTTTGCTTTTTAAAAATTTAATTTGATAAATAGCAAATGTTGGTGAAGTTGTGGAGAGAAAGGAACACTTGTATGGCATAGATGGGAGTGTAAATTGGTGCAGCCTTTATAGAAAATGGTATTGAGGTTCCTCAGAAAGTTAAAAATGGAATTACCGTATGATCCAGCTATTCCACTTCTGGGTATCTATCCTAAGAAAACGAAAATACTAATTCAAACAGGTATATGCATCCCTTTGTTCATTGCAGCACTATTTATTGTAGATGAGATACGGAAGCAGCCTAAATATGTCCATTAATAGAGACGTAGATAAAGAAGATGTAGTGTATACACATACACACACAAAATAGAATATTGCTCAGCCATAAGAAAGGAATGAGATCTTGTCATTTCTAACAACACAGGTGGATCTAGAGAGTATTATGCTAAGTGGAATAAGTCAGGCAGAGAAAGACAAATACCATCTGATTTCACTTATATGGGGAAACTGAAAAACAACGTAAACAAACAAATGAAACAGACTCATAGACACAAAGAACAAACTCTGTATTGCTTTGCCAGGGGAGAGAGAGGGAGGGAAATGGATGAAATAGGTGAAGAGGATTGGGAGGTACAAACTTTCAGTCATAAGTAAGTCATGGGGATGTAATATACAGCATAGGAATATAGTCCATGTTGTAATAACTTTGGTTACAGATGGTTAGTAGACTTATCTTAGTAATCATTGTGTATGGAGATGTCAAGCCACTATGTTGAATGCCTGAAACTAATATAATGTTGTATGTCAGCTATACTTAAAATTTTTTTAAAATTCATAACTTTTGATAGAAAATATGTAAGAGAAAATAAAAATATGAAGACTAAAAAGTTAGTTTGGGTAGCCTAAATGCTTTGGAAAGATTTTTATATACATTTCTAGTTACATTTAATTTTTTAAAATTACATGTCATTTTTATTTTTAGTATGGACTTTTTTTCCCCCTCCCACTAAATTCTGGAGAATTAGTATAATTATTAATAATTGAGCATTGTTTACATCATTGAAAAATTCTCAGTTTGGCTGATGGAAAATAGTCACTCCTCAGAATAAATATTTCAAAAGCTTCAGAATTCCAGAAAACATACTGTGGTTGTAAAATAAGTTGAAACAATTCCTATATTCTGTGTATTGTTTCTTCAGTTTGTCATTGCTGATTCATAACAAGAAATGTCTTGCTTGCACCAGAATCACTCCCATGTCTGGCTTCCTATTACTGCTTTATCTCTCAATATTTTTATTTAAGCTGGGAAGAAAGGCGAACTGCCTCTGGAAGAATCCAGTACCTAAACCACATAACAAGAACTACGCAATGGGAACGCCCAACACGGTGAGAACATGAGTCTCTTTCCAGAGTCTGTGCTATTCACCCTCCTGAAGCCACCCTCTGTTTATATGTCAGCTTTACCAGGTTTCTTTTCTTGGTGTAAACTGCTCTAGATCAGTAGATCTTATAGCAGATGCCTTTATTATTTTTAATAAAGAGTGCTTAGCAGGTTGTCCTGTTATTGTAGCTCCATGACCTGTGATGGTATTGAGTAACTGTTTATTAAATGAGCTAAATGAATACCTTGAGAAGTCATCTTACTCCTGTGACTCTTAAATTTTTTGAGTCCATTATTGAATGGCTGTAACAAAATACGTATACAGGGATCACCGTTTATTCAGTCATGTCAAGGGATGATTATATGTGTCCAGTAAGGTCTGTGATCAAGAGGAGAACCAGATGGCCTGAGACCATCTGGAGAGGCACTTGACTTAGAGTGGGGGGTAAGGGAATGGTCGAACTTGGAAAGTTCTGAAGGAGGAGAATCTCTGAACTAAAAATCCTGGAGAATATGAAGATTTAGCCAAGTAAGGGGGAACAGGATGTAAAGTGTTCAGGACACTGGTAACAGCTATCATTGAATTTACTAAATTGTTGTATGCTAGGCTCTGTGCTGTAACAATGAATAATGCAGAAAGGCCTTCCTGGAGCTTAATGTGTAAAGACAGGGGCATACAAGGTAATTTTTGAAAGCTCCAAGGAAAGCTCTTTAAGTAACTGAAAATGAATAGGATAAATGGCTGGATTTCATTTTTTACTTTTCAAAATAAGAAAGTTTATTTGCCGCCTGTACTTACTCAGTGCTTGCTTTGCTCCCCCTACTGTTTTTTTTTCTCCCTGAACAGGAATGACCCCAGACATAGAACATCGAATGCTTCTCATTAGCCTTACCTACTTTCATTTATTGGGATTAAATTGCTTAACTCATTGAGTCACTAAGTCTCTATTACACTGTGATTCTTGGATGAAAGCCTAGCTTATGTTGCCATTTTAAAAAATTCTTATTTGAGAGTTTATTTCTAGTATTAACCTGCCAAGGATTATATTGAAGTAAGAAGAACCTATTTTTATCACATCTCAGTGTAAATAAATGTATGCTTGTGTCAGTGTTTTAGTGAAGTCCCTTTCTTCCTCATTTAACTGATAAAATCGACTTTAATTTTCACATGTATAAAGTTGATTGTACATGTTAGTTTAAAAATTAACTCTTGATTATCCTCTTAGTTTGGTTGACCTAGAAGAGACTGGAAGCTCTTTGAAGTGACAAACTATCTTCCTTCTTTTATTCATTCAGTATTTATTGAACTACTTCTCTTAAATATATGCTGAGTACTGTTCTAGGTACAGGAATATATATGGTGGGTAACTAGACAGACTCTCATCTCTCAATAAATATTCTAGTGGGAGAAGACAGGCAGAAATAGTGTTGCAAATGAGGAAAACACCAGAATTAACTGCTCTGAGGAAGTAAGGTGATGTACTATCAAATGCCTGGGTGAGTAGATCTGAAGGTCAGGAATGACTTCTTAGAGGCAGCATTTAAGCTTAAGCTGTGATTTGAATGAGAAAAAAGAGTCTGGCCTAGAGAAAATAGGAGAAAAACTCATCCTAAATAGGAGGAAGGGCCACTCTGGCACTGAAGGTAGAACAGCCTCGCAAGCTCGAGGAGGAGGAGGAGGGTTCGTGTGGGAGAGGCAGCGTGGGAGAAGGATGGAAATGCAAGTCTGAGGCGACCTGTAGCTGAGCCACGGAGGGCTTTGTGCGCTCATGCACACATCTGCAAATACATGCGGGTTTCACATAAAGTGTACTTAAGATCAGTAAGGGCTTCCCTTGTAGCTCAGATGGTGAAGAATCTGCCTACAGTGCAGGAGACCTGGGTTCGATTCCTGGGTCAGGAAGATCCCCTGGAGGAAGAAATGGCAACCCACTCTGGTATTCTTGCCTGGAGAATCCCAAGGACAGAGAAGCCTGGTGGGCTACAGTACATGGGGTCGCAACGAGTCAGACACGACTGAGTGACTGAACCACCACCACCAAAGTGATTTTAATCCGTAATTGATAATCTGCTTATTACCTGGGTTTCTTTGGTGCTTTGTGACTTCTGGTTTGCTTTTATTTAGAGTTTCTTGAAGTCATCATGTTTGTATTAATTATTCCATTTTCTTGGAAGTGATTGTTACTGCAGTACACATTGTCTATAAAATTTTACTTCTGATATCTGAGTTGAGTAAGGTTTTTTTCCCTTGTTACTTTTTGATAGACCGGCATCTGAATATTCTAGTCCCGGCAGACCTCTTAGCTGCTTTGTTGATGAGAACACTCCAATTAGTGGAACAAATGGTGCAACGTGTGGACAGTCTTCAGATCCCAGACTGGCAGAGAGAAGAGTCAGGTCACAACGACATAGAAATTACATGAGCAGGACACATTTACATACTCCTCCAGACCTACCAGAAGGCTATGGTATGACAACTACCAGAGGAAAAATAAAGTGTGTTTTATCGACTTAAGCTTGCTAAGAAAGCCAGCAAATCAGCTTTTAAAGTAGTTATTAATCTGGGTTTAGGAATTCTGCATGAAAATAAAAGTAAATGTAAAACTCCCCAACTCTGATAAGTCTCTGAAGTGATAGAAGACTAACAACAGTTTGACTTTGGGCTAGTCATTTAACCTCAGCCTTTTTGCTCCATTGCAGTGAAATGAGATGAACAATACCTCTCCTTTTCACAAAGGTAGTGTGAGGAGCATATGAAACAGCGTGAGACTGTTTTGTACACAGGCACTGTAAAAAGTGAGATGCTGGTGTTCTTGATAATGGCAGTCTGAAATCAGAACTGTAATGTAATTTTCTAGACATACATATTTAGAAATAATTTAAATAGCATGTTTGTGATGGTATTTATATATTATATTTGTACTGTCTATAGTTTGGGGTTATCTGAGTGATTGGGTTATTATAAATGATTTAGTCACTTCTATGTTTGTGTAAACATACAATCTTATGTAGTTTCCTAAATTTTAGAATTCCATGTGAAAGAGGACCTGAGTCGTCTTGTAGCTGAGAACAGAACTTCCTATATAAATCGCATCTTGTGAACTCTTGTAGTATGAACTCAACTGTACTCTCTTGTTAAAAACTTAACCAAGTTAGTCATACCCTTGCCCTTTTCACAGCCTCTAGATAAGCTCTAGTGGGCTGGTCATGACACCTAGTGACCAACATTGGGAACTGCCTGATCTAACTTACTTTTACTCTAGAATATTTCTAAAACTTAAATGCATCATTCTGACTTTATTAAATACTTTAACTCTTTAATTGAAAAAAAATTTTTTCCCCATTAATTGTGTGAGGCCATACAGGTTAACTTAAAGCACAGTGATTAGAACTTGGAAAACAGGCAGACCTGGGTTTAAATCCTGTCTTTGCCACATGTTATTAATAGTTGTTTGACTCTGGGGACATTATTTAACCTCTCTGAGCCTCTGGTTTTATCTTATATAAAAAGGGGGAAATATTAGTACCAACCATGTAGATTTGTTGTAAGAAATAAATGAAATTTCATGAGAAGTTAAAGTTAGTAAAATTTAGCAGTCATTATTAATGTTCAGACATTACAATCTATTATTGCCTGCCATTTTTCTTTGAGATTATAAGGCAAGTGGCTTGGAGTGGGGGTAGTCATCCTTTTTGTATTTGTGTGATTTCAATTAAAAAATTTTTTTGTATAACTGAAACATAGGAGTAAAAAGTGAGTTCCAAGGCTGAAATTATTGCAGCTGTCATGCAGAACCAGTTTTAAACATTTTTGCATTTATAATTTTTAAAGTTTAAAGTTTAAATTGATTTGTATTACAAGTTTGTGAACAAATGTATACTAATAAGTATTAGCAATGGTTTTATTGTTTCATATATTGGAATTTTTCATTAGATTTTTTTTTTTAAGTAGTTCTGTTGCTAGAAAGCATAAATAAATAAAAGACTGAAAACCACCATTGAAGAAATCCCATTAGAGAAACCCTTGCACAGATTCCTTCTCTTTTCTGGCTTCCTCACTCTCTTCCCAAGGGCTTTGACTTAATTTTACACTTGCCTTTAGTCTTTCTCTTTCTAACTTCATTATTTTTCAGTTGTTGCTTATTTTTGACTATAGGGTATCTCTCTCATATTCCATTGTTTTTGCTTCTGTTGGAGTCCAAGTGTAGACTTGAGAATACACTTCTCTCAGGGAAAGAAAAAAATACAAGTTTTGATATAAAATTAGGCATTATTTAAAAAGCATTCCTAGCCTGTTAACTCTCTGAAAGTTTCTACAAATCCCCTGAGAATCTCCTCAGAATTTGCTGGCCTCTTCCTCTGAGCCCTTCTGTTCCCCTTAGTCTCTATATTTAAGACAAATAAAAGATAATTTCATGTTTGTTTCATTTAATGGTTGGTACTATGACAGTCTTGTTTTCTATTTTCCATTGCAACATGTTTAATATTTGAGCCATATTTTAGATAGCCGGCCTGTGACCCTCAGCATCATTTATAAGATTGTTTCCAGGAAGAAATGTGTTCTGAGTTCAGAATAAGTAAGGCAATTCTTTGTAATAAAATAGATTGGTAATTTGGAAACTTTACCTATTCATGTCCTAGTGTTTATAGCTGTCTTTGATTTGGACATTCTGAATATGTTTTTATCATTAGTGTTTCTTAATTTTACAGAACAGAGGACAACGCAACAAGGGCAGGTGTATTTCTTACATACTCAGACTGGCGTGAGCACGTGGCATGATCCAAGAGTGCCTCGGTAAGAGCATATTCTGAATACCCTTCATACCATTGAATATCCATTTCACTGAGGATTTATTTGATTATTTAATCTTTAACTCCTTAAAATAGTAAAAGTTTGGCTCTTTCAGATCATTTTTTCAGTTTGACATTTGGTTGAAAGTTCTTACTTCTCTGCAGGCCTATCCCAGTGTCCTACCCCCCAACCAGTCCCTGGTTCCTTTCCTCCTCCCCCTTAAAAAAATCAAGGCAGAAACATGAGTCTTTTAAGAGTTTGAAAAATGACCTGGGGAAAACATGGAAACCTTACAAAAACATTTTTCTTAAGGGTAGTAAATTGATATTTTTATTTCTGGTTAGGCTTTTTTTTAAAGGTTTGTTTATTTTAGCTTTATATAAGTATAATCTTCAGGTTTTAAAGTAGAAGCGAAATAACCCAATTAAAAGAAATTAAATTTATTTTAAATGCCAAAACTTGTATATTTGAACTGCAGGCATTGTTGAATGCATTTACCAACCAAAATGTCAGCTATCTTTTAACTTCAAGAAGGTGACATGACACAAAATCAATTTAGTAGTTTAACATAATTTCTAGTACATTTTAGTATCAAATAATGCATTTTAAGGCACTAGCTATTTGAATTATTTTCTAATGAACAGACGAAGAGTGTCAAGCAGTCCAGTTGAAGCTGCAAAAAAAAAAAAAAAGACTGAGTTCTAAGTGAGTTTCTAAATCAACTTTGTAAGCTGCACATATACCTTTGTAAGATGAGGATATTTTATATATTAAATAGAACAATCTTCTCTTAAAAATAAAAGTCCCATGGAGAGTCAGATCTTTTTCTGCATAAAGTTTGTACTCAGAGCTCTGTCAAGAATTATGTTTTTGAATGAAAAACAGATGTGATTAGCTGATTTTGGATGGCTTTGATACTCTATTTATTTATAAATAAAGTTATTATAATGAAAATGTTTTGCTTTCTTTTTTTTTTGGCCTTGCTTTGTGGCTTGTGGGATCTTAGTTTCCCTACCAGGGATTGAACCTGTGCCGCAACAGTGAAAACTGCCTAAGCAGCCAGGGAGTTCGCAAAATGTTTTACTTTGTGATAGAGCTTAATTAGAATCTTTTGAGTGTGGCAGCCAAGGAAATGCATTATCATTGATGATTGTGTCAAGGTGGCCATTTCTCTGTGTTCGTGATATAAGCTGTTGATTAAAAAAAAAAAATAATGGAGAGGAAATTTTTGTTTTATTAATAAGCTCACTGAAAAAAATCCAAGTGCCTAATTTTTAGAAATAAGAGTTTTGTTACATAAGTAAGTTGTGAAAAGAAGTGCTTTGGGTTCTGTTTATCAAGTTGAAGGTCAATATTGAACTTTTGTATAAAATTAAAGTCTTTGTAAGGAAATGTTTAGAAGAAAAATGATTCTTAAAAAAACTAAATAATTTACAGTAGTGTGAAAGTTGATCTTGAGTTGCCTGTTGAAAGAGTAGTATGTTAAGCCGGCATCAGAAGTTGGATTTGAGAGAGATTTTGGCACCACAGTTGGTAATATGTTCTTATTCCTAAGGAAATAGTCAGCTTTTCATTAATGAGTAAGGGGTTTCTATAAGGATTTAAGAATATTTCATACTGAGTACTGAATAATAACTTTAATAAATAATGCTCTGGATTATGTGTTTCTTTTCTTTAGTCTTTATGCTCCAAAGTGTTATCTTAAAATATATATCTTTTGTTTGGGGAGTTCCTTTAATAAATACATCTTTTGTATGGAGGATCTTTTATCAAAGCAGACTATAAATATTTAGATTCTATTAAAATATTATTACTAGTCAAAGACATTATAAAATAGTGTAACTCAGACACTTTTAAGACTAGCTTTATTTAAAGATACCCAGTAAACTTAGATTTACCTGAGAAGTCCCATTTCAGAATGTTTTGTATTTCCCTTTAAAATAATGATTAATGATGCTTTGTTATTCACTCTGTGGCATACCGACTGTGTAGTCTTGATACCATACCATCTTCCTTTAATCACGTCTCAGTTCCACATAGTGTGTTTACAGTTTGCCACTGCTTACCAATTCTTTAGAGTTCTCCCATGTATGACTGTAAATCTGTAAAATTCTGAATAAAATGATATAATGTCAAATGTTGCATTATAGCAAAAGAATTATTCATTCTTTGAAGTAATTGCCTTTCATTTCTAAAAGTTCCATTTAAAAAAAACTTATCTGTTCATTCTTAATCTCTGAGTGATAGTTTGTTTCTGTAATTGTTCCCTTTTATTATTTTTTTTCTAACATTACATGTCATAGCTATTCTTTTTGATCTCTGATAGTACTTGGGGATCTAATTCCGTGGTTTTGTTTCTACTGATTCTCAGTCACCATGAATTCCTTTCTGAAGTGTTTGATGATCTTTGATTGTGAGTTTGATTTTAATTGGTTGGAGTTCTGTGACCCTAAAGTGAGAATTGAGGAATTTTTCCTGGAATCACTTCATCTTGCCTTTGAGTTCTCAGTGGGGAAGTTCCAGATTTCCTTTTCCAACCTTGCTGCTGGCCTGAGGCTGAGTTTACCAGTTAATCACTGCTCTCTGGCAGCCCCCCACTCTACCTGTCTGCCTCTCATGTACCAGCTCCAGCTCAATTCACTTAAAAAAAAAAAAAAAATTTGAGGAGGATTCTTGGAACTTTTTCCCTTGCCTCTTTTGAAGATTAGTAGTGTCTCAGAATAGTTTCTTCTTTCCAATATTTAGTTGTTCTGAAGCAGAAAACTCTCGGGCTTCTGTAAGCACAAGTCAGAAATCATTGTACAAATCTATGGGCACCCATCATTGTATTTTCACTATGGCCAAGAAGAGGTTATTTCAGGAAAACTCTTTTCCAGTTTAACTTTTAAAACATAATTTTGATGAGATTTGTCATTATAATTATTGGCTACAGTTCAAATTTATATTAGATATGCTGCTTTTATTTCATTCTTTAAGGTCCTATAAATCTTGGTCCTGTATAACAGAATGTATGACATAATAACAGGCTTCCCAGGTAGCTCAGTGGTAAAGAATCCACCTGCCAGTGCAAGAAATGCAGGAGACATGGTTCAGTCCCTGGGTCAGGAAGATCCCCTGGAGGAGGAAATGGCAACCCACTCCAGTATTTTTGCCTGGAGAATTCCATGGACAGAGGAGCCCAGTGGGCTACAGTCTATGGGGTCACACAGAGTCAGACATGACTGAGTGAGCATGCATATGATATAAGAACAGGGGTCTTTGCTCCATTAAAAATCTTTTGCTTTTTTTTCACGTAGCAGTAAATCTTAGAACATTCTTCCTAAGGTGTCTTAAACTGATTCTCCATTCACTAGCTTTTATAGCTTTTAGAATTCAAAATGGAGCAGTTATCCTTTAAAATGTATGCTGTAGTTATTTTCAGAATCATAATTTTAATAACATGTCCAGTTTTGCTTTACTGAAGAGCTTAAAATTAATCATGGAATGAACATTTACACAGATTTTATGGCATGGTAAAGAAAGAAATAATTGAAGGGAAATTTTAGAAAACATTTAATTCCTTATATCACTGACATTTGGAAAACAATGTTTTCTCAGACAAGTATTGAAGTACAGTTTATGTTGGCAAGTGTTGTGATTGCTTTTCTATTAACTTAAAACCTGAATTATATTAAAACCCAGGAATGAACTCACTAAAAATGTAGGCTGTGTGATAAGTTTCTGAGCCATTTATGGATTGGGTTTTGAATAAGCAAGTTTGTTAAACCATTGGGAATTAAAGATTCCAGCTCAACGTCTCAAGTTTCTGAAACAATACATTTTCTCAGACTTCATGGAATTGTTCTGTGTCATTTACACTTGCTTGGCTCAGCAGGCCCAGCAGTGAGGTATTTTTTATTTTATATTTGTTTTTACAGGGATCTTAGCAACATCAATTGTGAAGAGCTTGGTCCGTTGCCTCCTGGATGGGAGATCCGGAATACAGCAACAGGCAGAGTTTATTTCGTTGACCATAACAACAGAACAACACAGTTTACAGATCCTCGGCTCTCCGCTAACTTGCATTTAGTTTTAAAGTGAGTTTTTAAAATAATACATGTTAAAATATGAATCTCAACAAAAGAAGACTGATAGATGCTTTTTGTAATAAATGTGATAGAATGGCTTCTCTCTTCAGTTATAAATTACTTCTGTTGAACATAATTTTATGGGTATACCAAATGTTACTCTGATGTTTGGATATTTTAATCCCAACTGTGCTTAAATAGGAACCTGTCCTGAAATGTTAGGAAAAGGGTGTGTGTCAGAGGTTTGTCCCGTCACACCTGCAGAGACAGGCTGCTTTGTGGGGTAGGTGGAGTCCTTCTCCCCTCCACCACCCCCGTCCCCCTTCACCCCGCAAGTGCCCTAGAACTAGCTCTAGGAGAGTTGAATCCATCCCAGAGGGCTTTCTGCTGTCAATTTTGTCCTCTAGCTTGAATCCTTTTTTCCCCATTTGCAGGACTGAAATAGTTTCTTTCACAAATCTTTGTGAATGGGCTTGATGTATCCTGTGTTTTGGTTTTTTATTAAAATATAGTTGATTTATAATACATATTAGTTTCAGGTGTTTAGCAAAGTGACCCAGTTATATGTATATATTTTTTCCAGATTATTTTCTGCTATAGGTTATTATAAGATACTGAATATAGTTCCTTGTGTTCTGCAGGAGATCCTTGTTGCTTATCTTTTATGTATAGCAGTTTATATTTGTTCTTCTCTCTGACTTACTGCACTTAGTATGGTATTCTCAAGGTCCATCCATGTTGCTGCACATGGCAACATTCCATTCTTTTTTTTGACTGAGTAATATTCATTGTGTGTGAGTGAGAGTGTGTGTACTTGGTTTGCTTCCATGTCTTGGCTCTTGTAAATAGCGCTGCCATATATATACATCAGGGTACATATATCTTTTTGAATTAGTTTTCATATTTTCCAGATACATGCCCAGGAGTAGGATTGCTAGATTATATGGTAGCTCCATTTTTAGTTTTTTCAAGACCCTCGATACTGTTTTCCACAGTGGCTACACCAATTTACATTCCCACCAACAGTGTAGGAGGGTTCCCCTTTCTTCCCACACTCTCCAGCATTTATTATTTGTAGACTTTTTTGATGAACTGTTTTAAATTTGGCTTTCTTGAAATTTAATTGACACACAGTAAATTGCACATATTTTCTGTGTACAGTTTGTTTTGACATATTATGTACTGTGAGGCCCTCACCTTAATGGAGATATGGACGTATCCCCGATTTCCTCCTGCCTCTCTGAGCCTCTTGGTGGTCCCTCCCCCCACCCCTTCCCTAGTTTCCTGAGGCTGCTGCAACAAAATACTACATACTAGGTGGTTTAACACAATATAAGTTCATTCTCTGACAGTTCTGGAGACTGGAGTTCAGAGCCAGGCTGACCCGTCGTTGGTTCCTTCTGGAATCTCTCAAGGAGGATCAGTTCCATGCCCTTCTCCTAGATGCTCTTGGTTCCCAGAAACCTTGCTGTTCCTTAACTTGTGGGAACATTATTCCAGTCTGTTCCTTGTCTTCACATGGCCTTCTACAATCTGGTCTACCCACAAAACATCTGCCACCAAGTGTGGGAGTTTTTTCCTCAAACATTCCAGTTCTCCCCATCTACAGACTTGAATTCAGTCTAATGCCACCCGCAGTTAGCATCAGGCCTCACAGGTGAAGGGCTCAGTTTCAACAAGGCCTCCCATATTTCTTGCCAACTGGCTATAAGTCAAAGGCGTCCTCATGACTCTCAGGTTCAACAGTTTGCTAGAATGGCTCACAGAATTCAGGGAAATTATTTCCTTATTATTAGCAGTTTTTTATAAAGGGTGTAGCTTGGGAACAGCCAAATGGAAGAAAGGCACAGGACATGGTCGGGGCTGGGCACTACATGGAGCTTCGGTGTACTCTTCTGCAAGGTGCTTCATCCTCTGGGTATCTGCAGTGTGTTCATCAACCCAGCTTTCTGAACACCAGCGTTCAGGGGTTTTTATGGAGATATTATCACATAGGAGTGATTGATCATTAACTCAGTCTCCAGTTCCTCTCCCCCCTCCCCAGAGGCTGGGGAGATGGCGCTGAAAGTTCTAGGCTTCTCATCAAGCCGTGGTCTCTCCTGCAACCAGGCCCCATCCTGCAACTACATAACAGTCACCTCACTGAAACAAAAATGCTCCAAAACCCAGGAAATTCTAAGGGACTTAGGAGCTTCTGTGTCTTGTACCAGGGACAAAGACCAAATATTGGAACAGAGTACACTTTTCTTGTCACCTCTGCCACTCAGGAACTTTCAAGCATTTTAGGAGTTCTGTGTCAATAACTGGGGACAAAGACCAAAGTATATTTCTTACTATATACAGCTTCTCCCCTATATTCTGGATCCAAATTTACCTCTCCTTAGAAGAACACCAGTCTGTTGGGTTTAGGGCCACCCTCATCTAGTGTGACATTTAACTTGAGTATGTCTGCAAAGACCCCGTGTCCAAATAAGGTCACAGTCAGAGGTGCCTTCAACTTACTTACTTAGACACAGTTCAGTCCACACCTCATTTTCAGCCAGCCACCAGTTTGCTTTCTGTCACTATACATTGCAGTTTTTAGAGTTCTGGAGAAGTGGATTCATACAGTATGTACTCTCTTCTGTTTGATTTCTTTTACCCAGCGTAATTATTCTCTTGTTGCCTGTATAGTTCATTTCTTTTCATCCCATTGTGTGGCTAGACCTCAATTTATGAATCTGTTTACCTGCTGCTGAATATTTGGATTGTTTCAGTTTGGGGCTGTGACTAAACTGTTACGAACATTTATGTTAAGTCTTTCTGTGGACATACGCTCTCACTTCTCTTCGATAAATAAACACCTAGGCTGCATCATATGACAGATTTGTGTTTAACTTTTGAAGAGACTGCCAGATTGCTTTTCAAAGTGATTGTGCCATTTGACATTCCCACTGGCAGTGTGTGAGAGTTGTAGTTGCTCTTGCTAACACTTGCTATGGTTAATCTTCATTTTAGACATTCTAATAGATGTGTAGTTGGTATCTCATTAAGTTTTTTAATTAATTTTTTAATTGAAGGATAATTGCTTTACAGAATCCTCATTAAGTTTTAATTTGCTTTTCTGTAGTGACTAGTGATGTTGAGCATCTTTTCATGGGCTTATTTCCATCTGTATATCTTCTTTGGTGAAATTTTTTGCCTCCTTTTTAAAAAAAAAATGAGTTTTTGAGTTTTGAGAATTCTTTAGATGCTTGAAATACAAGTTTTATGTCAGCTATAAGCTTTAGAAAGATTTTCTCCTAGACCGTGACTTGTCTTTTCATTTTTTTAACGGTGTCTTTTGAAGAATGTAAAGGTTCTTTGAAATTTAAGTGATGTCCATTTGTTTTTCTATGGATTGTGCTTTGGCACCTAAGACTTTTGGCTTTAGGTTTTACATTGAAGTCTCTGATCCACTTTGAATTAAAGTTTTGTATCTTTAACTTCGTATACCCAAGTTCTTTTTTTGGGATAGGATTAATACTGTTGTTTAAAGAGTATTTTTAATATATTCTGTTTTGACTTATATATGTGTGTGTATACAAAAAACACCTTTATTACAGTGCTTATGAGAATAAATGGTGATTTGTCATTTTCATCAAAGCTGCATTTTTTTTGATAGTTACGTGTTCTAGGTATAAATTTGGGCCTTTACCTATTGAATCATTATATGTAAAGTAAGTTTGGGTGATTTGTTAGAGAACTGAAAGTTATTTTTATTTTCTCATAGCTACCATTGTCCTTTTCTCTTAGGTTAGAAGACTGTACTCTTGTCTGTCTGTGAAATTAGATTCCAACTGAATCATCCAGCATTTGCATAGACATTAACAGTGAATTACCTGACTTTTTATTTCCTGACAGTTTACTGAAATTAACTCATTCATTATATCATAAGATTCTTTAAACAATTCTTAGATGCAGCTTATAGTATTTTTGTCAGGAGAATAAATATATCTCTAGGCAATGTGCCTTCTAAAAATTATGTTTCTGCTGTACTTCGGAGATTATTTTTGTGTACTTGTGGTAAACTATATATGCAGTTAGAAGTCACTTTAGCATAAGAGACAATGTAAATGTACTTAATGCCAGTGACTATAATACTCAAAAATGGTTAAAATAGTAAATTTTATGTGATGTATATTTTACCACAGTAAAAATAAAAGTAAGGACCTCCTTAGTGGTCCAGTGGTTAAGACTTCATGCTTCCACTGCAGGGGACACAGGTTCGATCCCAGGTTAAGGAACTAAGGTCCTGCATGTCACGCTGCATGGCCCCCCCCCCCAAAAAAAGAAAAGAAAAGAAAAATAGTCACTTTATAAAGCATTTAGACTTGTTTGTAAAGTGCTCATTTCTCTGTGACTTCCCACATTCCTGTGGTCTAGACTGTAGCGTGCACAGGAGAAGGGGTCCTGCCAAACTGCCAGTTCCAACTGTTTGTCTCTTTCAGAGAGACAGACTCTAGATAATAGGCACAGGGTTTGGCATATGCCTGAATTTTGAAGTGAGAGCTGGTAAACGTGAGTGGAGGAAAATGGAAACAGTACTTGAGAAAGTTGCTCTCAGCAGCTGTATAAAGGTTTTTGGATAAAACTCTGATTGTCCACTTCCATAAATTCTAAAATAAACTTTGGAGCCAGTTTATTGTTGTCAAAAATGTCAAGCTAAGACTAAAACAAAGCCTCGAAATAATATAGATAGACTTGGTTTAGCATGCAATGCTATTTTAAATGTATAATTGCAATCTTTTAAAAAATTTCTTTACTAATATTTGTTTACTTTTAGTCGGCAGAACCAATTGAAAGACCAGCAACAGCAGGTGGTGTCGTTGTGCCCTGATGACACAGAGTGTCTGACAGTCCCACGGTACAAGCGAGACCTAGTTCAGAAACTAAAGATTCTGCGGCAGGAACTTTCCCAGCAACAGCCTCAGGCTGGCCATTGCCGCATTGAGGTTTCCAGGGAAGAGATTTTTGAGGTAAACTTGCACGTCTGATTTTAAAATAGAGAAAATTTAAATTTCGGTGATTAACTTGTTTTCCAAGTATATATTGGAGGTACTCATAATCTCTTGAAGGGCTTCCCTGGTAGCTCAGACGGTTAAGAATCCGCCTGCAATGCGGGAGACCTGGGTTTGATCCTTGGGTTGGGAAGATCCCCTGGAGAAGGGAGTGGTTACCAATATTCTTGCTTAGAGAATTCCATGGACAGAGGAGCCTTGCAGACTACAGTCCATGCGGTCGCAAAGAATCGGACATGACTGAGCGACTTTCACTTTAATCTCTTTAAAATGGGAGAATTTTCATTAATTTATCTTTTTACTTGTGGGGAGTAAAGGCAGTAGTATTGGAGAGATTTAATATATATAAGATAAACATTTGAATGGGATGAAGTGTAAGAGGTTCTGATGGGTGCAGCTTGGTCCCTGCATTGTAGATACTGATTTGTTCATGACCACAGATATTATCCATCCCTTATTTTCTAATTCTTCCAAAAGGTAAGGAACTCTTAAATCAAAAAATCGTTTTGTCCAATTACTGTTGGACTGCTTCCTTAATTTATTGAAAATCTTCCTTTCTGGTATGTCCTTTTATCTCTGGATTTTATAGCTCTAGTGGCAGCTTCAATGTTCTTACATAGTGGCAGAGGTCCAAGGCAGGGCTTTCCCACATTAGAGGGTTCCAGGGAAAGAGATGTTTGGGGACTTCATAATCCTTCTCCCAAAGGATGAACTTTTTTCTCTCAGAACAGTTCTGACCTTGTTTGTACTCAGTCATTTGTAATTTTAAAATAATGTAAAGTTGTCAGTTTCGTGAGGATCACATTAACAATTACTTATGTGCTTTGAAACTTTGTTGCTTACCTTTCTGCTGGAATCTGTCACCTGGATTAGGTCAACTAACTTTAAAAAATGTGGTAGTTCTGTCAGATTGTGTTTTTTAATATGAGTGGTATCATTGCTATAGTTCATAGGACTTAAGTACAGAGTCTTGCATTTAGTAGGCTTTTAATATAATGTCTGTCAAAGGAATTGATTTCAGTAGTATTAAACTCTGTTTTAAGTTCCATGAGGTTCCAAACACTTGGAGTTGATCCATTGATTTGATTGTTGAACACATTCCACTTTATTTAAATAAACATGTAGGTGGAATGGGAAGGAGAGTTTAAACAACAGCTTAAAAACACCTAGTAATACTAGTATATTAAACATTTTTTTCAGGAATCATATCGACAAGTCATGAAAATGAGACCAAAAGATCTCTGGAAGCGGTTAATGATAAAATTTCGTGGAGAAGAAGGCCTTGACTACGGAGGGGTTGCCAGGTAAAGAGATACTCGTCAGTAAATGACATATAGATCCTTATATTTGCAGATTAGATACTCTCTGTGGTGTAACCTTCTCATTGGTATTTATTTTCTAACCTAATGTTACCTAATGTTTGCAGTATGGAGGATACCCTAGTAGATGCATTCATAATGAGGTTATTTAGTATAGCACTGCTGCCAGTAAAGTATTTGTGAACTTGCTAATGGATCATGTCGTCCAGTGAGACTTTCTCTGAAAACTAGCTGCAACCCTATGTGGACTGTTGGTAGGGCCTACAGGCCTGATATTTTCTCCATTTCTTTCCTTCAGTACATGCTGTTCCCTCTGCTTTACATTGTCAGGAATAATCTTGAGATTTTAATGACGTGTATTCTAAACTGAATACTGTTTTCCTTTGCTTCCATTGCCATGCTTTTTAACCTTGTTATAGGAATGTTTGTGTCGGGAAGTATGTGTGTATATCATAAATTCTCCATAGAATATTTCAGTACATTCAATATGATGTTTCTGCTGCATTCATACATCAAGTATTTTTTTCCAGGTGTGAGAATTCACTATATATAAATGCAGCAGAAACATTATAGCTTTTTTGTTAAAACATTTTAAGGACCATCATGATAATTTTGTCTCCTCTAATCTAAATCCAGCCTAAATTAAATTTGTGTTTCCACCAGGTCCCATAATTGCCATTTGGCATTACTTGTTTTCACCTATAAACTTTTTCTATGACCTTTTTACTTGGCAAACGGATAACTTCTTTAGTTTGGATTTTTAGAATTGATCACTGTGCACGCATGCTCAGTCGTGTCCAACTCTTTGCAACCCCATGGCCTGTAGCCCGCCAGGCTCCTCTGTCCATGGGGATTTCCCAGGCAAGAATACTGGAATGGGTTGCCATTTCCTTCTCTAGAGGATCCTCCCGACCCAGGGATTGAACCTGAGTCTCCTGCTTGGCAGGCAGATTCTTTACCACTGAACCACCAGGGAAGCCTTTAAAAAACACATATATGCATAAAAAACATACAAGACATAGTAGGTGGGAAGGTTGCTTATTGGAGATCTCACTTTTTCTTTTTAATCTCTAGACTTTTCAAGTATTAAGCATAATGATTTAGACGCCATCAAATGATAAAACTTTGAAATGTTTTCCTTTAACTATTTTAATAGTGTTTCACTGCATTTCTTAAAATTATATTATCCCCCTGTTTAATCCATAATATCAGAATATATCATTTACATGCGCTGAGGAATGACAGGCTTTGAGACTTGGACGTCACCTTAAGTTCTAGACTAGTGATTTTATTTCTGTCTCACCAAGACAAAAAGTGGTCTTTTATACTTTGAAAAATGTAAATGATTTAATAAGTTTAAGGTGATACAACTGTTTATTATAGGTTTTAAAAACACTGATGTATGCTTGAAACCAAGAAATGGGATGAAACATCCCCAGAAAGTGCTGGCCTGCCCTTTTATTCCCACTTATACCAAAGGCCTTGGTAGTTTCTCACCACTTACATGTTTATCATGGTTATTCTAGGGTTTACACAAAACAGATAGTGGAAATGGATAATGAAATTTTCTTACTAAAACCATACCAACAATAATACATGAATTAGTTATATATGAATGTTATATATTGTATAAACTAGTATAAAACTGCCATGATTGGAGATGATCAGGGTGGTATGGATGGGACCACTTCGAGGTTTTGAAATAAAACTATATTCTTCCCTTCATTTTATAATTATTATGGATCACAAATTTGTTTAGCAATTAAAAGTAACAGACCACTGGGCTGCAGCATCTAATGGTACTTCTGGATATCATTATTATGTTCGCTGATGTTAAAATGTCACAAAATTAACCAAAATTGAGTGAGACATGAGTTCAATATAATAAAACAAGGGTTTTCATTTACTTTGGGGATTGGTAGATGATTCTTCTTTTTTTTTTAATTTTTTTTTTTATTTAATGGGAGGATAAATGCTTTACCATGCTGTGTTGGTTTCTGCTGTACATCACAGAAATCAGCCATAGGTGTACTATCTCCTCTTGAACCTCCCTCCCACCCCTCTAGGTGGTCACAGGGCATGGGGTTGAGCTCCATGCGTTGGTATACTTTTCTAAAGTGATATTATGTAACTAGTTAGTGCTTTATTTTGTTTTATTAAAAACTTTTTTGCTAACATTAATTAATAGCATATCTTAGTAAAAGTATATTTATTAACAAAAAATTCCTTTGGCATATCTTGTTTTTTAGGGAGTGGTTATATCTCTTGTCACATGAAATGCTGAATCCTTATTATGGCCTCTTCCAGTATTCAAGAGATGATATCTATACATTGCAGATCAATCCTGATTCTGCAGTTAATCCGGTATGATTGATGGTTATAATGATACGAACTAACTTATGACCTACAATGTTTTTTCATCTTTAAGTGTCAGTGTAGTTTATGACATAGGCTTGCTGTCTTTGTTCAAGTCACATCCCTTGGACTTGGCAAGTCCTCTTTTAAAAAATTTTCTTAGGTAAATGATTATGAGTGTGTGCAGCAGTTGGGCCCAGGGAGGTTTACTGCATCACTGTTTATAATAGCCCCAACTGGAAATAACAGTGCTGTCCATACGAGGGGTTGATTAAATTATGACATGAAGCAGAATGACGTGGTTTTAAGAGCTTAGACTCTGGAATTAGACATGAGAACACATCCTGGTCCCATTACTAACTAGCTTTGTGACTTTCATTGACTTAGCCTCAATGATAAAATATAATTTGAACCTGAGAGAAGGGTTGTGACTGTTAAATGAGACTCTGCACAGTGCTATACATTAACCCTATTACGTATTATTAAGTACTCAACAAGAGTTAGCAGCTGTTACTCATTTGTTGGTTTTATAGTATTTCTATTATCTTTCCATACAAGGGTATATTATAGAGCCCCTAAAATGATGTTGTGGGATAATGGATAATGATATGTAAAGATAGTATTTGTAATAGGTGAAAAAAAGTTAACAAAATAGAATGATGCAACTTTGGTAAACATGTATATGTGAGAACATTGAAAAGATCCACAGTGTAATACATAACAGTGGTTATCTCTGAGTGTTAAGACTATGGGCTTTTTTTCCTGGTCTGTATTTTCTAAATAGTAGTGAACAGATATACTACTTTTTTAAAAGAAAAGTGCTAGGCTTATAGGTGAGCTTAGAGATTGTTGAACAGAGAAGTAAAAGAAGTTTAAAATACAAATATCCAACAATAATAAAACAATATATCATGGAAGACCAAATCTGTCTAAACATGGTAGGCATGGTAGGTTCCTTGCTAGGTATTCTTCATAAAGGGGAGATTTTTAGGTGAAGATTCTGCTTGACCAGTTCATTACTGCCACCGTAGTAGATAGCTTACGTTTGTTGAGCATTTACCATATGCCAGGTCCAGCGCCTTGGGCTTCATTACCTCATGTTACTACCCACAGAGACCCTTTGAAGATGCTATTATTACCCTTATTTTTCCAGATAATGAAAAATTATCTCTACAGAGGTTAAGTAGTTTGCCCAAGTGTACATAGCTAGTAACTGGTAAAATCAGGACTCTAGTCCAAGTTAGACATGAAGTCTGTGCTCTTAAATCTGTGATGTTTTGAAGTTCAGTTTCTGGTTAGGTCAAGAGAACAGGGAGGTAGAGAATTGAAAGCTTTTTTTCCATGACAGAGCCATGACTATAAGGAGCTCAGCAGGAGACGGGAGGAGAGAGAACAGGGTCTGCAGGAGATTTAGTGAGCCTGCTGAGGGACTAGGCTTAATTTCTGCGGATAAGTTTTACAGAGTGACGCCCTCTCTTTGTGAGAGGCATTGACTCTGCTGCAATATTTTGTAGCAAAGTTTAGTATCTTAAGTGTGCCCTATAGAAACTTTCCCTAATGAGTATTGAGCCTTGATACCATAGCCTATCCACTTAAATAGTTATAAATTGGGGTATAAGTTGATATTTATTATTTAAAAAATTACTGTTGCTTACATATTTAATTTTTATTAAAAATTCCCTGGATAGTACCTACCTTGAATATTTACATAAACTCTCTTCAATTTCAGGAGCATTTGTCCTATTTCCACTTTGTGGGACGAATAATGGGAATGGCCGTGTTTCATGGACATTACATTGACGGCGGTTTCACGCTGCCGTTCTATAAACAGTTGCTTGGGAAGTCCATCACTTTGGATGACATGGAGTTAGTTGACCCAGATCTTCATAACAGTTTAGTGTGGATACTGTATGTATTGAGTCTTGTTCATTAGAATCTGAGCTCTTAAAAGATACATGTTTCAAAATGGATGTACTTTTTTTGAAATATAAAACATAATGCACGGAAAATATTAAGGGTGATCATCTGAGTGATGGGACCATATGAGACTTTTCCTCTTTCTGCTGCTTTTGTGTCTTTTTAAAATTCCTAAATTTTAGCAAAAGTATTATTACTTTAAAAGGGGAAAATGTAGTATACTCTATTTTTAAAAGCACTTAATGCTTTCTTCAACATGATGCAGGTTGTGTTTCCATTTTTCATATGTGAGAATAAGGTATTTCTGCTGAAATGATGATTGCTGAAACCATACTTTAAAAAGGGTATTTCTAAGAGTCAGCTCTGTTTGTCGGGAGGTCGTTCATTTGTGAAGATACACTGGCCATGCTTGTTTTTACCAAGTACACAAGTAGCGCTCTCAGTGGGGCTCCTCAGGTGTTTGGTCACTTGGATTACCGAGATTCTGGTAGAACTTCTTACCTGAAAGCCAAACAGAACTGAGGTTTCCCTGTGTAAAACACAGCTTTCCAGGGCTTCCTCATTACTCAATAAAATGTTCCCAGGGTTTATGAAGCTTAAAGCTCTTTGACTTTTCTGCCCCCCAACTGGTAGGAACGGTGGCATGAGAACTAGTAAAAAGAACATAGGGTCAGATGTTCCTCTGTTTGTCATGTTGTAAAAACTACCTTAGTTTTATTTGTCTCACCAATTAATATATCTCTGAGATCTGAATTTTAGATTTTCTAGTCAGGTGTCTTTCCCTTTCTTTCCTTTCTAGCGAGAATGATATCACAGGTGTTTTGGACCATACCTTCTGTGTCGAACATAATGCCTATGGTGAAATCATTCAGCACGAACTTAAGCCAAATGGCAAGAGTATCCCTGTTACTGAAGAAAATAAAAAAGAATATGTCAGGTAAACACTTGTGTCATCTTAAGCCTGAGACTTGTTTTAATGTCCTGGAATGGTGGCATGGAAAAACACGATGCCTAGGTAGTGTTCCTTACTGCCACAGAACAGGCCTCTCCTCTGCAGAATTAAGTGGCTTCAAAACAACCACCATTTTATTATTTCTCATGGTCCCGTGGGTCAGTTATTTGGATCAAGGATAACAGGGACAGCACACTGCTCCTCCGCATGGTGTCAGCTGGGGCGGAAATGTTGAGACGACCTCTTCACTCACATATCTGATGTTTCACCTAGGGTGGATTGGCTGGCTGGGGGCTGGCTGGAGTGGACGCTGGGTTACCATCTGGCACCTGGTTCTGTTGGCTGGGCTCCTTACTTATCCCACGTGGTGTCAGAGGCCTCTCTCTGCAGCACAGGAGCCAGACCTCTTATCGGGTGGCTGGTTTCCCAGAGCACAGGAGGAGGAGTTGTGGGATCTTTTAAAAGACCTAAGCCTGGAACTGGCCAACATCACCTCTGCTGTATTCTTTTGGTTAAAGCGTGTCACATACCAGCCCAGGTTCAGTTGAAAGGGGGGCTGTACAAAGGCACGAATTTCAGGAAACACTGTTTGTGGCATCATGTGTAGTGTAGCTCCCACAGCTAGCTGTGCAGAAGCACTTCTGGGCTGTATTACTAGGACTTAATCCTATTTATAAATGAAGATGTTGTGGGTTTATATAAGAAATACGTGTTTTCAATAGAAATATAATTTATGAAAATAGAAATATATTGATATATATTAAATATAAATTAGTATCAATATTAAAGAAATAGATATATAAGAGGTACTATATTTCTTATAAAAAAATCAAGAAAATGTTCAAGTTTTGTAAAATCACCTGTTGATTGAGGAATCTAGTAGTATTAAGTGAGATCATTTGGCTCATGGTATGTGAGTTTTTCTAAGCATTAAACTGTGATAATCAAATTTAGGAGTATGAACTTCACCATATGTACACAGAAGCATGCTTGCTGTACTTTTTGCACAGAATATGTCCTCAGGTCTTACTGGCTGGAATGTTTCAGTTTACGGATGAGGCCCATCAGTCTCATAGCCTGTGAACCCTGGTAGAGCTTTGTTGGAAAACAATTTGAGAACAGCTGCCAAAATGAAAATGCATATGCAGCTCCATTCTTAGGAATCTGTTGTTTGGAAACACATTTGTAATTAAAGAAATATAAGGCTGTTTAAATATCACTTGTAAAAAACCCCTGAAAACTGCAAAATGTTTGTAGAAGAGAATGATGAGATATATTAAACAGAATATTGTGTGACAATTTAAAAAAAGAGATTCTGCATAAGCTGTCACTTAAAAAGCATGTCTTGGAACAAAGTCTGTATTGTTTTATTCTCATACAGATGATGTTCAGGAAGACCACTTACCCAATAAGATGTTGCCTAGGGTGGGAGAGTGGAAGTGATAGGCCTGGAAGTAGAGAGGAGAGGGTAAAAGAGTGGATTTTCAGGTTTTACTCTGTCTCCACATTTAATGTTTGATTTTTAACTATGATTTTTCTTTTAATAACAAACATATTCCATTTGTAACTTAATGAGGGACTTCCCCATGGTCCAGTGGCTAGAACTCCTCGCTTCTACGGCAGGGGGCATGGGTTTGAAGTTTGATCTCTGGTCGGGGAACTAAGATTACACCTGTCAAGCAGTGTGACCCCACCCAGCCAAAATACACACACACACAATTAAAAAATCACAAGAACGAGCAGGAGTCTCCTGAGGTGCGGCAGTGGGCCACCTCCAGGGTCTGGGCAGGCTGCGCACTCTCCAGGATTCCACCGTGTTCACAGGCGCAGTAATTACTCCCTGGGCCTCCCGGGCGGGCTCAGTGGCAAAGACTGCCTGCAGCGCAGGAGACGCGGGCTCAGTCTCTGGGTCAGGAAGATCCCCTGGAGAAGGGGGCATGGGGATCTCATGCACAGAGCAACCTGGCAGGCTGCAGGCCAGGGGTGGCAAGTCTGACAGGACGACCACCAATCGTCCCTTACAGATACAGTTTTGAAATTACAAAGAAAAACTTTTTACAGGTTGCAGTTTTGATGTGCCCTTTTGAACAAAGAAAAATAAGGTCCCCCAAGGGATACAGTTAATATTAAGTAACTTATTTCTTAGAGAATTATTTCTTCCAAGTTTGGGAAAGGAAATCCTGACAGATTGGGAGTAGGAGTAGTTCTGAGGTTTGTGAGAGAAATTTTCCTGGGAAGATAGATTTTAAAAAAAAAAAAAAAGGGCAATTCATGTAGAAAGTGTAAGTCCAAACCAAGCTGTAAGTAGAGCTACACATGAGATGTAGTTTCGTGTACTTTTTGTTGCTCAAATTACACCTTTCAGGGCTTTTAAAGCCTGTAGGGAAAAACGAGTAGTCAAAAAGTGCTTGCTAGTGGCTTTTACTGTTTCTTCTCATTTTGGATATGGGGATTCTCTTTACCTCCCCTTCCCCTGTATATGACCCACAAAATATAAAGACAACACCCAACACATTGATTGTATTTTTAAGTGAAATCAGAAAAAGTTATTTTCGGTTGAATGGGCTCTCTTCTGGTTATTGGCATGCGTGCTAGAAGCTGAGAAAATAGTTCCATTTAGATTTTAACTTCAGACCCATCTGCTCTCCAGCCACCTTCCAGTTTAATAGGAGTTTTTCTGAAATGAAGAGTTGCTGTAGCGATGCTGCTTTTGTTAGTGGAAGGTTACTGCTTTTTAATTTATGCTGCTTATAATTTATACTGAACTGCCTCACTGCTGAGGATCCATCTACCTTCAGTAATCTGAGATTCTTTTAGATTTTAGACTAAATTCTTAACGCTAGACACTTGTAAAGTGCAGTGTTGCTAATGTACTAACGATTCATAGTAATTACCAAATCTGAATATATTTGATCCTACAAAACCCCGGCCCAATGTTTCCAGGCTTTACGTGAACTGGAGATTTTTACGAGGCATTGAGGCGCAATTCCTGGCCCTGCAGAAAGGATTTAATGAAGTAATTCCACAGCATCTGCTGAAGACATTTGATGAGAAGGAGTTAGAGGTCAGTGTATGAATGTCATGACATCATCTAGTATAACAAAGCAAGGTTGAGAAGTTTCTGTTACTTAGTTTTAGAGGAGTTGTATTTCTGGTGCTTTTGAATTTTTTCTGTGTGCTGCTGTGAGAATTCTAACTCATAGGAAAAGCCTTTCATGTTTTGGAAATTCTACAAGTAGTCTCTCTTATATTGTGACTATCCTTTATTCTTCCATATTTTCCATTCTTCCTTTTAACAGGTTTTGTATATTTTGTGTATATTCTTCCAGTGTTATTTCCTATTCTTTAATTAAATGGCTATTGATTTAGTTAAGTGAAACTTTATCAATTGGTCTCCACCATATTGCAGTTTATTTAGAATAAAAACCTAGACCCAATTGGATTTACGTTAAGCTTTACAAGAAAGCACTTGATAGACAAAAACCTAGAGGAAACATTTAGGATCGTCTAAACCCGCCTGCAATGCAAGAGACCTAGGTTCGATCCCTGGGTTGGGAAGATCCCCTGGAGAAGGGAATGGCACCCCACTCCAGTATTCCTGCTTGGAGAATTCCATGGACTACAGTCCATGGGGTTGAAAAGAATTGGACGTGACTGAGCGACTTTACATGACTGTCAAAACATCTTCAGTCTCCTTGGAAACTTTTGTTACTAATACAGACTTTAATAACCAGTTAACCATTTTTTAATTTTAAAGCTAGTCCTTAAAGCACCTTAAGTTTGGTTTTATAATTAAGACCTTTAACAAATACATCTGAGTTACTACTGAACTACTTTGAAAAGTAATGAGATTTTATTCTACCTGAGGTCGCAAAATTGAATTAGTGCCTAGGGATAGCATAAATATTAGAAGTCTATACATAATTTAAAATATGATTTTATTAACTTCAGTGTCCTTTCTAACTAAATCTGTTAACAGATTGGTTAGACAAACCTAAAAAGATTGGTTTGACTGAATACCATCCCCATTCTTTCCGTGATTGAATTATTCAATACTGAAATGACCAGAAGGAAGTAGGAGGAGGAATAAAACACAGCAGGAATGACAGTAAAGTTGAAATACGATGCATTTTTTTCTGTTCGTATAATAAATAAGGAATTTGGCTTTAAAGTTACCACTCCTCTGAAGAAAGGAATTTTGAGAGGTATCTTCAGTATTATAAGTACTTCTGTAGTTCTATTTGGATAGCCACTTACCTGTTCATATAGCTGTGATTCAGGATTTTTCAGAACCCTGTAGAAGCTTTGTTGCAGATTTTATTCAATAATGTTAGGGTTTGTTATATAATTTCTACTGCTAATGAAATTAACTTTTCATAAGAAATATATATATATATATAAAATAAATAAAATAAAAAAAAGAAATATATATATATATATAGTTTTAGTGTTACACTGGGTTAGTATACTTAATTATAAACTATGGGATTTGCAGGTTGCATTATGTTCTGTACTACACACTATCATAAGTCAGTGTTATACACAGGTTAGTAAGATGACTCTGTCTTGGATCCTAAGGAGGTGTGAGTATTAATTGTATCAAAGTGATTTTGATATATCATTTATAGTGAGCCTGCATCAGAATGCCAAGCAGAGCTCTGTAACAGCACATTCATAAATTTTGTACTTTGGTCCAGCTTTAAGCAGATTGTACCACTTATTCAACACAATTTCTTGAATGCCCATGCACTATTGGTTGCTTTCACAGGATGTAATGAAACAGATACTACTGCCTTATTACCGAAGAGGAAACTGTGGCCAAGGGAAGTGAGCTGAACTGCCCAGAATTCCAAAGCTAATGAATGTTGAAATTGGAATAGTAGATTCAGGTCTTAAGGAAGGCATATGTAAACTGTATTTACTCTGAATCTAGTTTCTGATCATTATCACTTTTTTTAGAATTCTACAGTGAGATTATGGAACTTCTCATCTTGTCATGTCCATCACTGTGGTTCTCACATCCTGGGTAGGGAACCTGCAGTGTAGGTACTCATGGAGCTTTTAAAAAATACAGACCCTAATTCACCCCAGATTCACAGAATTAAAATATGAGCATAGGACCTAGTGTGTATATTTTGAAAAACTTTCCAGATGGTTCTGACATCTACCCTCGATTAAGGACACCATTTGAAAGCCAACATTGCAGATCTAAAGTTCCATTTTGAGGAATTTTTTGGCCGACTTGGGTTTCCATTGGCTCATTATTTGTGCAATATTTTAACAGCTCATTATTTGTGGACTTGGAAAGATAGATGTTAATGACTGGAAGGTAAACACCCGGTTAAAACACTGTACTCCAGACAGCAATGTTGTCAAGTGGTTCTGGAAGGCTGTGGAGTTCTTCGATGAAGAACGACGAGCACGGTTGCTTCAGTTTGTGACCGGCTCGTCACGAGTGCCTCTGCAGGGCTTCAAGGCTTTACAAGGTGAGAGAGGGAGGCACAGACCATCTGGCGTCTCATCGTCGGGGCAGGGGGTTAGTATTTGGTGTATGCAGATGGTGTACAAACGTGCTTATAAACAGATTCTCTTTTCACTCTAGTTCTTATCTGTAACTCTCGTGTCTTGATACCTTCTTCTCCTTCCTTTCCTTGTTCCCTCCCAAGAGCCTTTCCTGCTGGGTTCTCTGTGGTTGTAGTGAGTGCCGCATGTCGGAGACGTGTGTGCTGATGCTCTGCCTTTTCTGGACACCTTGCTTTAAAATGCTGTTGCCCATTCCTCTAGGGGAAGTCTGTCTGCTTCCGTGTTCACATCTCAGCCTGGCAAACATTTGCCCACTTGGGAGGCCTCCCCCCTCTACTTTTTTAATCTTTTAATAGAGGCAGCATGAGCTGTGGAAGCCATTTGTCTGGTCAGAGCACTTTTAGTTAATGCATGGCATCAGACCATCTCACAGCCATATTCCGTTTTTAAGGATTGTTTTCCATGGAAGAGCTGTTCAGCTGGGGGATGAGTTGGGATATTGCTAGTGATCGTGGCGCTTCACTGGGTGGCAGTGTTCCTTTACCTCTGAAGCTCTTCATTTTTAAATCTGCTGCTGCTGGTGACTGAGGGTGTAGGAAGCAAGGCTGGTACATGACTCCACAGTGCTGCGTAGTCTACGTGTCAGAATTCCGTGGGGGAAAACAGACTTGAGTCGTGCTTGCATTGCCTATGTGGAGAACTCGTTATCAGCAGACTGCTCAGATGCACGAAGTGAAGTTGTATTTCTGCAGACTCGTTACTCTCTAGACTGTGATCTTTTGCTCTCTGCGAAGTCTGAGGAGTGAAACCTAAATCTGCATTAGGTTGTCATCTTTTTGAATATGTGCTGGACCTTGGATTTGCCCCTTTGGGACAATGACTGTCCATAGAAGATAGAGGTTGGCAAAAGGTTTCAATCCTGAACTTTCCTTAAATCGAAAGGCTAGCAGATCAAGGAATCAGCCTTGTTATCCAAGGTCAGTTCCAGCTTTTAAAAACCCAGATTCTTTTCCTGGGCCTTTTGGCAGCTGTGTGGAGTCACCAGTCCTCCCTTAGCCCTAGACCCTGTGGTTTATGTACCATCTTTATTCTGAGATTTTGAAGACTGATACGTGTGCCTGCAGTGATCTGACCCACATTGGCTTCCTCTGCAGGTGCCGCAGGTCCACGGCTTTTCACCATACACCAGATCGATGCTTGCACTAACAACCTGCCCAAAGCCCACACTTGGTGAGTTACTTCAGTAGCTTTTTACCTTCATGCCAGGTATGTAGGTGTTAGTTTCAGACAGATTTGACATTTTATTTGTTGTTCTTTCTACTGAATGGCGCCTTAAAAGAGTTGCTTATTATTCCTTTTAAGTGGATTAAGATTATCCAAAAATGGGTAGGGAAAATCCCTTTGGGGGATTTTCAAGTAGATCTCAACTAGAGAGAAATACAACCTCTTTCTTGTAGTTTTCTGTGTGACACAAAGAGTGATATGGCTGTATTAGTTTAGTGTAAACTAATGTACACTTGCCAGGTCAGTTGCCCTGTTTTGAATGAACTGTGATTTGCTTATTTACAGCTTCAATCGAATAGACATTCCGCCCTATGAAAGCTATGAAAAGTTATATGAAAAGCTGCTAACAGCCATAGAAGAAACGTGTGGATTTGCTGTGGAATGACAACTTCAAGGATTTACCCAGGACTCTATTTATAGCCTGACGGACAGACAGCCTCCTTTCAGCAGAGTTTCAAGGAATGCTGAAATACAGGAAAATGCCCCCCCCCCAACCCCCCCTTTAAAAAATTTTAGGACACTGTGAGGGGAAAGGACAATTTTGAAATTCCTTTTCAAGGAAAAAAAGAGGTCTTTATGCTTTGCCATGAGGCCACATTCAGCTGCTATTTAAAATTAGTATCTTGAACCTAAAGAATGCTGACTTTTCCTACATTTCCAGAGTTAGGCAGTATTCTACACTTAAAGACTACTACTATTTTTATAAAAGGCAATCTATCCAAGTCACTTCACAGATCTCAAGTCTACCGGACATGAAGACGACCCCAGCAGCCGGTACGAGCCGCTTCCGTTTGCGAGCCTGGCTCCCAACAGCTCCTGTACGTGCTCTTTGTAAAAGATGAAATGAAATAAAGTTATTTTGAATTATTCTACCTTTGTAAACAATTGGCTACAAAAGAATCTTAAAAAATTAAGCCATTTACAAGTTTAATTGCCTTTTTCTATAGCAAAGCATTATATTTTAGAAGCATTATATGTTTCAACCTAGCCTAAGTGAGTTTTTTTTAGTATTTTTCAAGCACGAATTCTCTGGAACACAGCTATATAATTTTGGTTGTCGAGTTCCTAACGCAGCCGTTTAGTCTGAACTTAGTAGCCTATTTGCTACAATAGGATGATGCCTTCAGGGGCTCCCTGTTCTTTAAGAGACTTTAAAGCAGAAACCTTAATTTTTTATCTTGAATGAATATGATCAGGTATTTTGGATTTACTTTGCATCTTAAATGGAAATACTGCATTTTTATAGCTACTTAGATCACGTGGATGAGATGGGATTTTCATTCTGTTACTGGGTCAGCTTATCTTTGAGATATATATATACTATTTCTGTAAACCAAAGTCTCCTATGACAAGTGCACCTAATTCATATTATATTTTAATTATGGTAAGTTTCTATCAAGTAAATCATCCTGAATCTGTTTAGCTGCTCATATCTTAAATCAGTTAAAATTATGAAAAAGGAAAAACTCTGCTCAAAAGATTATTTAGCAAAGCTTAGAAAACTCTGCTTTTACCTAACAAAATGAAGTGGGGGTGGTGGGGCAGGAGATGTGATTACTAAAAAAAAAAAGAACAAAAAAACAAAAGTGATTCTAACTCTCTCATAAACATTAAGTCTGAAGAGTAATTTTGGAGGTAAGGGAATCTTCGGTTCCCTTGGTATTGAAGATCAGCATTTGATTTTGAAACATCCAGATTCAGCTTTCAAGGTGCGTGGCATGTTGCATGATCCAGAAGGCAACCAGAATTCTGGAGTGAGAGCTTGGAAAAATCTGAAGTCATGAGTGGTTTTTTAAATTCAGCCATCAGAAATCTGCACTATTCTTTTTTTTTTATTTTTTACATTGATGAGAAATCAGGCATAGCAAATTTTGATGTGATAGCTTTGTTTAAATTTTGCAGCTTAATTATCAAGTGAATCAGCCCTTTGTGTTCATTTGATGGATTGGTTTCAGCCTGTGTTCTGGGAGCCAAGGGCTTCCTCAGAGGTGCCTCAGAAGTCATGGTTTAAGAGAGGAGGGACAAAGAGAGGGCGAAGAAAGGCCGAGTTGGTATTTGAGCAGAGGCCTCGAACTCCCCATCCGCCTTTATCCAGAACAGCTCTGATTTTTCTTTTATATATTGGAATTTTATGTAACGTTTCAGAGACTAGGCAGGGTGGGGGGATGGGTAGAATACAAGAGGTGGAAAATTTGCTGCTTAAAAAAAAGTTGAGAACTACTCCTGTAGCTTCTGTGTATTTATTTCATTCAACCAAATTTGACAGCCACACACAAGCTGGTTTAGTTATAACTGTGTAGTGGCGATGTGCTTATGCTGAACTGTTCCTTCCCACTTTGTTTTCTTACTGCATTCTTAGTTGTACCGGAGAACATCTTGAAATACCCTGTTTGATTATCAGTAGTTTTCAGCTTTCACAATAATACCTTATTGGTTGCAGGTCCATCTCTCTCTTATATTAAAGCACTAGCGCAGTGTAATTGTGCCTATTACAATCTTTCATTAAAAATACATGATGAACACTTCAGAGAAATTATAACTGACAGATGCATTAATAATGAAATGCTACTCTCAAAATAATGTACAAAATAGAGCAGACAAATACCATTGCTTTTTGAGTGCCTTTTTAACTTTATAATGACTTAATAGAGCTTTAAAAGAAAGAAACTCCCCTCCCTTACAGTCTGTGGTATCACCAACATAATTTATAAAAACATGATTTAGATTTCATTTTCAAAGTCACATTACCTGATTACTTCTAAACAGGTGCTAAGCAAACAAAACCCCCCAACGAATCACTGACCCTTGGACTTGCACCTCATGTTTAATGTGAATATTTATTTCTACATGTCCCTCTTAGCTGGGTTTTTCCTAATCCTTCCTCTAGTTGCGTTATTTCAGATAACGTGATGTCATGTTTCCATACATTGCCTTTGCATCATGAATGCTTAATTACGAACAGTGGTTACTTTGTAGAGCTCGTATGCAGTACAGAGGTGAGTGTGTTTCAGAGGGTCTTACTTCTTTGGTGTAAAGAGTTTTTAAATAGTGCTGTGTATAGTGTACATTTTGTTTTTGCACATAGTTTGTTGCCCTGAATGGGTTTTATTTTTAACCAAGTCTTTAATTTTTTCCTTGTAATTACAGTCCAGAGCACAAGTTTCCCTTCTCTTAAATACAGTGTAATTTGCTTTATTTTATAACACTAAGTTGGCCTGAACTTGCGGTGCATTGAGCTGGCTGCGTGGGCGGGAGTTACCAGATTGCCCAGTCATCTTGACGGTTCGATGGAGCAGCTCCTCCTGCTTGTCCTTAGGCTGCAGCGCAGTCAGTGGCTGCCACTTGTGGTATTTAATGTACTTACGTTAGAGTGATGGGTTGTACCAAATGCTGAGTCGCTCTGTTTTTAGATGTAATTAGTTCACTTATTGTAATATTCTTCTTCTCTCAAACTGACTTTAAAAACAAAGTTTTATCATTTTCATTGTATGTGTATTTATTACAGAGTGTTTTAGCTTTGATATTCTTTGTATTTTCACCCAGTTGTTACATGAGCTTTATCAATAACATCTGTATAAATGGTTTTTTAAAAATTAACTATGTATGTGCCCATGCCGAAGTTGAGCAATAAATGAATGCTGTTTGCACTGTCACAGCATCAAAGTTTCTAAAGAATATTGAGTTTATAATGAATTGTTTTTAAGAACTTTGGCTCTATCAAGAGTGACTACATACAGACCGTAAAATGTAAAGTTTAAAGGTTCATGGGCCTTCCTGAGTTGGTGTTTTTGTCATGTGGCAGAGCCTGAGGGCTCAGGACGCCTCCTGAAAGGCCCAGCAGGGAAGCCGCTCGTCTTCCCCTGCCGTGGCGCCGCCTTTGTGGTCAGTGTGGCCTGTAACAGCTTCCCAGGCTCTGGAGGGCAGAGCTACGACCAGGGCCTCACTTGCTTCCTTGATGTTGAGCAGTAGAATCCTCGAAAAGCAGAAATCAGTTACATTTTCCCAAGGAGCCGTGACTTTAAGGGTCGTAATTCAGTTCTGTAAATGTAGTGAATTAAAGTCTAGCTATCTACATGGGTGAACAGAGAATTGGATAGGGTGTTTTTTCACCCACAGTAGTCTGTGTAAGTCTCTCCTCAGCATAGGCCACACAGAGAGGCATGTCTTGGCGGGGTGAGGGGCTGGTGGTGCAGTGGAAGCAGTCCTGTATGAAAAGTTCCCAGAGTGGGCATGGGGTCCATTTTTACATCCTTTTGAAATGTATCTTTTTTTGCTTTGCCTCACATTGCCAGTTTACTCTTTGTCATCTAAAATCTATATATACTTTTTAGTACATTAAGGATTTTAGTAGTAGAATCATCTGTAAATTACCTGAAAGTCTGAGTAATATGTGATGTTTTTCTGCTCTATGGTGACCTGAAAGGTTTGTCTTTTTATTATAATGAAGGTTAACCTCAGCACCACCCACTGCATTTATTTGTACTTTATATCCCAAATGCGTCCGGTAGGATATGCCGAGGAGCAGAATGGAGCAGAGGTAATTACACAGAAAAAGGCTTAAAGGCCCATGATAATATTCTTAGCAAACTAGACAAATCAGATTTTAAAGTTACATTTCATTGAGAGGTATTTACCTTAAATGTGGCTCATTCGTTGTCCATTCAAATGTCATTTGCCATTCAAACCTGTCGTGCTCCTACCGTGTCCCCGGCTCTGTACCAGCTTTAGGGATACAGCTTTGGATGGTGGTTAAAAAAAACTGAACTCCCAAACTAGTGTTTCTAGTGTATGTCTCAGAAGCTACAGTGTAAACAGAGTTCCTCAGAACTCAAGAGTGTGTGCAGCCAATCAGTCAGTCATGATGGCAACATGGGATTAATTACCTCACCTCAGCAAGGCTTCAAATCCCTTTTGGTTTTTAAAAGTTGGTATTGTTCCCCCACTCCCTTTCCCCATGACATCTCAGATTCCAGCATACCTTTTGTGGATATCTGGGCTGGGATTTTATCTAGGTTATCAAAGTAGTCTGAGCTGTAGTCTCTCTTACGAGTGCTTTCCTATAAGCAAGGAAGTGGGGAGACAACAGCAGCACCCTGAGGGGTGGGTAAGAGACCCATCCAGTTTCAGTCTTTAAGATCCATCACCATAGTCAGAAGTTTTTTTTCCCTTGTGATGAGACTTTTTAAGATCCCTCTTAGCAACCTTCCAATGTGCACTACATTATTACTAACTAGTCACCATGCTGCACATTACATCCCTGTGAGCTATTTCATAAGTGAAAGTGAAAGTCACTTAGTCACGTCTGACTCTGCAACCTCATGGACTACACAGTCTATGGAATTCTCCAGGCCAGAAGACTGAAGTGGGTAGCTGTTCCCTTTTCTAGGGGATCTTCCGAACCCAGAGATCGAACCCAGGTCTCCCACATTGCAGGCGGATTCTTTACCAGCTGGGCCACAAGGGAAGCCCTTATAACTTCAAGTTTATACCTTTTGGCCACCCTTCACCCATTTTTTCCATTCCCCGTCTCTGACAACCATCAGTTTGTATCTACATGCTCAGTTTTGAAGGGTGAGAAGGGTTTTTGTGTTATATTCCACACATTAAGTGAGATCAGATGATATTTGTCTCTTATTTTACTTAGCATAATGCCCTCAAGGTTAATGATGTTGGTGCGAATGACAGGATTTCTTTTTTTTTTAGGCTGAGTATTATTTCAATGTGTGTATACATATATACAAGTTTTCTCTATCCATTCATCCATCAATGGACACTTAGGTTGTTTCTGTATTTTGGCTATTGCTTCAGTTGAACATGAGGGTGCAAATAATCTTTTCCAGTCAGTGTTTTCATTTTCTTCAGATAAATAACCAGAAGTGAAATTGCTGAGTCATATGGTAGTCCTGTTTTTAGTTTCTTGAGGAACCTCCATAGTGGCTGCATCCCCACCAACAGTGCACCAAGGTTCCCTTTTCTCTATATATTCACCAGAACTTACTTTTTGGTAGCAATCAAACAGTTATGATATCATTGTGGTTTTGACTTGCATTTCCTTGGTTATTAGTGATGTTGAGCACCTTTTCATGTACTGTTGACCCTCAGTATCTTCTTTGGGAAAAAATTATCTATTCAGTTCCTCTGCCTATTTTATAACCAGATCGTTTGCTGCTGAGTTGTATAAGTGCTGTGTACTTTGGATATTAACTCCTTATCAGATGTCTAATTTGCAAATATTTTCCCCCATTCAGTGGTTGCCTTTTCATTTTGTTGATGGTTTTCTTTGCTGTGCAAAAGCTTTTTGGTTTGATTTAGTCTCACTTGTGCTTTTGGGGTCAAATCCAAAAAGGAAAAAAAATCATTGCCAAGACTGATGTCAGTGAGTTCACTGCCTTTTTCTTCTAGTTTTATGATTCCAGGTCTTACAAGTCTTAACCCATTCTGAGTTAACTATTTGTGTATAGTTAAGACAGTGGTCTAGCATCATTCTTCTGCATGTGGCTGTTCGGTTTTCCCAGCATTATTTATTGAAGAGGATGTCCTTTCCCCATTGTATATTCTTGGCTCACCTGTTATTGAATTGATGGACTTTATGTGGTGGTGGTGGTTTAGTTGCTAAGTTGTGTCTGACTCTTGCGACTCCATGGACTGTAGCTCGCCAGGCTCCTGGGTCCATGGGATTGTTTGGGGCTCTCTAATTCTGTCCCATTAATTTATGTGTCTTTATGCCAATACCACATTGTTTTGAGTACTACAGCTTTGTAATATAGTTTGATGTCAGGGAGCCTGATGCCTCCAGCTTTGTTCTTCAGGGGGCAGAGTTTTAAAGGCAGTTCAAATTTAGTGTATTTTTTAAGCTAAGAAGAAACTGGCCATGTCCATCAAATTCTAGGTTAGAGTTTGAATAGTTTGAAATTCCATTCAACGTTTTCAGCATGTCTGGATTTAGGATCTAACAGATCATTCTATAAGCTGCAGCTTAAACCCCAATTTTGGAATTCCTTCCGTTTATGCCATTTCTCTTAATGACAACTGTCTTCTGTCTGCCCTACCTATCTCATTCCCCTGTTGCAGACTCCCCGTTTTCAATGTGATACCTCTTTCCATTGTGAATAAATTTCCCCTATACCCTTAGTTCCTTCACTAGAGGCTCTGTTCTCCTGCCTTACTTAAGACACAGGTTTTCTTTTCCTTTCTACATTTTATAGGAGAGGCAGCTAATTCTCCAGTGTCCCACATGATACAGTAATGCATATACACAGCTAAACATACATATTTTAAAAAAATTCTCATTGCCAGTTTAAAAAAAAATCTGAGGTAACAGATTTTAACTACACTTGCAACCATTTCACAATATGTACATTTATCAAATCATCGATAATGTGAACTGTATAAATTTAAGCTAGTATATCAATTATATCTCATTAAAAGAGGAGGGACTCTTCATCACCTGTTCCCCCAATGCCTAGTCTTACTCCTAACCCTTCTGTCAGCTCTTCTGGTATTTCTCCATTTCCAGATGAGGTGGTTAATAGTGCCCTTCATTACTTTTAGACAGTGATTCTGGCAGGGGGTGGGGGGTGGGGTGGGGTGGGGTGGGGTGGGAATGGAGTAGGAGGATATTTAAAGATTTATTTCTCACACAAACCACCTCATTCTGTAACACCCTTACCCCCACCCCATACAGTTATAGTTAAATTATAGTTCTAAGTCACTTTTCAAATGTGTGATCATAATAAGCTTTCCCTGGGTGGTTCTGGGCAAACTGGCTTCACATATAATCCCCTCTCCACAGGTACTTGGCTAGTTAAGACCTTCCACCAAGTTAAGTTACCGCTTCATAAATTTGCTTTCTACTTTTCAAATATGCACTGGCACCTTTTGCTTCCTATTCTTTGACTTTTGCTTAGCAGTCTCATCTCTTTCCTGGTAAATTCCCTCATCGGTTCTTTCTCGTTATTCCCAGTCACTTAGTTCTGCTAGCTGTTTATCAAACTAACTTAAGAGTCCTAAAGCATTAAAAGGAAAAAAAAAATTAAAACAAGCATAATGATGCCTTTATAACAAATTCAAATAGTATATTATGCAAAGTGAGTGTAATAATCTATCACTTAGTCACACCTGGGGACTGTTCTTCTAGACCTTGGTGGTTTAGTTGCTAAGGTGTTTTTGACTCTTGAAATCCTATGAACTGTACATAGCCCACTAGGCGTCTCTGTCCATGGGAATTCCCCAGGCAAGAATACTGGAGCAGGTTGCCATTTCCTTCTCCAGGGGACCTTGCTGATCCAGGGATCAAACCCATGTCTCCTGCATTGCAGATAGTCTCCTGCTTTGCAGGTGGATGTTTTACTGACTGAGCCATAGAGGCCACCCTCTATCTAGGCTGTACTGACTACATTGCATTATACCCACTCATGCCAAAGCTTCTTAAAGATTTGCTCATTTTAAGGATATAGCATGTATATCTAGCTAGATGTTATTTTTCTCTAACAGTTTTAGAACTTATGTTCTAGCTCTTGTGCGTTTCCTGCATCCTGTCCATTCACCTACACTGACTGTTACAATATATACATTGCAGCTATCTGCATGTCTCTTCTCATGATGCTCTAAATTTGGCTATCCAGGGAACTCCTGCCTTCCTAGAGGCCCCACTGTCAGCTGTCATTCCAAAAGGGCAGCACATGGGACCAGAGAATTGGGTTCACCTGCTACTCTTCTCTCCAAGGTGAGCAGATCCCACCCTATCATGCCAGCTGGCCTCCCTGGGCCTCTATCCTTGTTTATATATTCTTCTCTCTATATGCCCTAATGGGAGCCTCTCTTCTCCCTTCCAATCCTTTTCTGGTGCCCTCTGCCATTCTCTGGCTTTGGTCAGCAAAGTTCCCATTTCCTCAACTGCTCTGAAGCCTCCGCGCACCTCCTGGCCTTTTCAGAAGCCCTCCTATTCAGGAAGGACATCACCCGAGCGAGTTTTCCTCCTTCCTCCTCTGCTCACCAGAAACAGGGCTGGGGTACACTCCTTGCCACCTGCAACCACGAGTGCTCTGCTGAGCACAGATGGCTGATCTTACACCTGCCACCCTCCCAAATGACAGAGGCCATAACGCATAATTCTCATCTTCCAGCCTCCATGTGACCACGTTACACAGACTTCACCAACGTATTTTTAAGGTTTAACCCTAAGACCCACCTCTAATGACAACCCCAGACTTTAGCTCTTTTCTGAATTAGAGATCTTTTTTTTTGGTCCTCAAGTGCTGTTTTGTTCACCTAAAGCAACAGGCTTCAGGAGCTGGCTGCTCAATTGAGGCTTGTTAATTGCTTTCATGCACCTCTTTTAAAAGTTTTAGGTCAAATTCAAAGCAGTAAACTTGAAGAAAACAGTATTTATTTTCAAAGTTATTTCATAAAAAGTACTAGTCAATATACAGATAAGTCATTCTGAAATGATTCTTCTGGTTTAGATTGTTTTACTGGCTCAGTCTAGCTCTGCCCTGGTGAAGTCCACACTGAGGAAGTCTGGCATCATAGGAAGGGATTTTTACTGTACTGAAAGGAAGCCAAATGAAGCCGACATTTGAAGCGCTCAGCTTCCAATTCCCGGAAAAAAGCATCGTCGTCGTTTTGTGTTATCATGTACTGCAGTTGTTGAATTTCCTTCTCCATCTTAGATCTCAGCTCCCTCTTCACCTTATATAACATCTAAAAGAGAATTCATGTCATCTTGCTAGTCACAACACCGATCCAGGCCCTCATCTATTTTTATTCCCTCTCTACTTTCCTAATCATCAAGCTTCTGCAGTAATTTTAATAATTTAGCAGCAGCTCTAACAGAGATCTGAACAGGTAAAGTTAAAATCACAGAATATAGGTTTTGAATTGTTGGTAGATCTTATTAGTATCCTCTCCACTTCTATTTCTTAAAAATGTAAATAAATGATTTCTATCTTATTATTACCTGGGCCTGTGATTTCTCTCTGGCTTTGAGCTCTTGACGTTCCTGTGATATCGCTTCTGCCAGCAATGAAAACTGTTTACAGGGAAGAAAAAAACCAAACCTTATATTTGTAGTCCAAATATAACAATTACGTTCACAGGCTAAAATCTTAAATCTTAAAAATCTTAAAATCACAGGCTGAAAATCAGCAATACAATTCTATACTGTGGTCAAGCACTAGCTAATTTTATCTTAAATTTCAGTCAGTCTAACCTGTGTAGTGACAAGTTCTGAATTAATATAGACGCTGGTCAAGATTAAGCACATCAGAATGTAAATTAGCAGCGGTGAGCCCACCTGGTCTTTATAGTAGTTCTCCATTGAGTCCAGTTCATTCTGGTGCTGTCTCTTTTGTTCATCTCGCTTTTCTTTGGCATAATTTCTTAGGTCTTGTAACCTTTGCTTTTGAATTTGTAAACCTTCTTCAAACAGTTTCTTAAATATCTGTTAATTATTTAAGTCAGAAAAAGTTATGCAGAATTTTCATGGTGGAATAAAATTTTGCCCAACTATAGGTATGCATACTGACTGTATTTCACAAAGTTTTTTTGGGAAATAATAGCAAATAATACTTTAATATTCTACTATATGGATATCACATTTTATTAATTTACCAACTGATGGACATTGGTAGTGTTTCCTCTGTCTGTTATAAATAGGGTGGTTATAGTATGAACATCTGTGTATAGTTACCTAGGGGTGAAAGTGCTGGATCATGTTTAACCTTTTGAAGAGCTGCAGACTGTATTCCAAAGTGGTTGCACCGTTTTATAACCCCACCAGCCCTGCATCTGTGTTCCAACTTCTACATCCTTGCCAATACTTTATTTTAGCCATCTTTATGGGTGAGAGTTTATGTCACTGTTGTTCTGATTTGTACTCCTTCAATGACTAATGACATCTTTTCCTGTGTCCCAAAGGTTCTTTGCTGCAGCCATATATATAGGAAAATAACCCTCAAGCAGAAGTAAATGCTGCATGTGCAGAGCTGAGGGCCACGTTGTTATTATCTAACTAGGCCACAGATAAACAACTGTTGAAAGGATTTGGATATGCCCACTTGTCCTCCACTGATTAGGTAGGAGTTCTTGACCAAAGTATAGCCATGCATTCATTAGTCAGTGGTATTACCTTAGTGTGAAGTTATTAAACCTCTCAAAGCCTTAGTAAGTATCTTCTAGAAATGAGGATAATAGTATGACTCCCTTCAGAGTATTTAGTCCCATGAAGTAGAATTACCCTAATGTTTTACTCTAGAGATGAAATTTATTGCTAGTTTGGAATCACAAGCTTGATAAGGATGAAATAGCAAGTATCCTGTGGAAAGATTTCACAGCATACCTATCCATTATTTTCCTGATTTTGAGTAGAACCTGAGGTCATGTAATCACACCTTAAGTTCCTGTCTCAGAACACGCGACCAGCCCCCTAAAGCAGTTATCCTGGAGAAATACCGACACACAGGAGGTCAGAGGGAATTAAGACTTCACATTAAGGTAAGTGCAGCAGAGATTCAGATGACCCCACAGGCACATGAAAAGATGCTCAACCTCACTAATTATTACAGAAATGCAAATCAAAACTACAATGAAGTATCACTTTATGCCAGTCAGAATGGCCATCATTAAAAGTCTACAAATGCTGGAGAGGGTGTGGAGAAAAGGGAATCCTCCTACACTGCTGGTGGGAATATAAGCTGGTGAAACCACTATGGAAAACAATATGGAGGTTCCTCAGAAAACTAAAAATAGAATTACCATATGATCCAGCAATCCTGTTCCTGGGCATGTATCTGTGCAAACAGATACCATATCTGTACAAAGACAAATACCATATAATATCACTTATACGTGGAATCTAAAATATGACAAGTGAGCCTATCTACCAAAGAGAAACAATTACGGACGGAGAAAACAGACTGGGGGTTGCCAAAGAAGAAAGAGTTGAGGGAGAGGATGGAGTGGTTAAACTGGGGTTAGCAGATGTAAGTTTTTATACACAGAATGGATAAACAGCAAGGTCCCACTGTATAGGATATTTGTCAATATCCTCTGACAAACCATAATGGAGAAGAATGTATGTATAACTGAGTCATTGCTGTAAAGCGGTAATTAACACAACTATATTTCAATTGTAAATCAACTATACTTTGATTTTAAACAAGCAGTAGAGACTGAGAATAGACCGGGATGCACTACGGCGGTGATAAAATGAGGTGTAAACAAGCCTGTACTCTAGCCAGCATCTCAGACTTGCATTCAAGTTACGACAAGAGTCACAATGAAGGTGGTTCAAAAAAGTAAGACAAAATTTATCTTTTTAAATGGATCGGACAGAAAAGCCATAGTTACCATTTCTTCCCGGCTCCTCATTCTCATCATTTTTGAACGCAACTGAACTCTATAATCATCATAATATTTTTGGGCACGAACAATCTGCTGCCGATTTTCTTTTATCTTTGATTGGGTTAATTTCTGCTTATGAATTCGGTCCTTGAAGTCTTGCTAAGGGAAAGGGAAAAAGAGGTAAGAACAAGAGGAAGACAGACTCCGATGTTCTCATCTACCCTGCTCCCCATCACCATGTCTTCAGGCAGCAAGCTAGCTATGGAGGGCCCATGGTCTGCTGGCTGGGCAGAAAGTATGGCCCCCAGAAGCCTTCCAGTCGTTTTGGTAGGTTCATCATCAGAGTTAGAAGAGGTGCCCCACAGTCCAGTGGTTAAGATTCTGTGCTCCCACTGCAGGGGGCATGGGCTCCACCTCTGGTAGGGCAAGTAGGATCCTGCATGCCATTTGTGTGGGAAAAAAGAAGAGCCATCTCCACTGAGCCCCTCTCAAACAAGCATCTCATCTCCCTGTTCCTCCAGGAGGTCACCTAAGTAATACCCAGATGCTCACTTAAAAAGAGTAAACTGGCATTCACAAAAGATGCAAAACTAAGGAAATCTGGTGATATCTTAGCAAAGTGGTTAGGATGAAATGAAGTCATGAAGGAAAAGCCTTCAAACTACCTATCCAGACACGTGTTTTCTTCTCCCCGGTGCCAGAGTCCCACATGCATTTCCCTGTTCAGTTTCAGTTCTCGCTGCTTCTCTCTACTGGAGAAGGAAATGGTGACCCACTCCAGTATTTTTGCCTGGAAAATCCCCGTGGACAGAGGACCCTGGCAAGCTACAGTCCATGGGGTCGCGAAGAGTCAGACCCGACTGAGCGACTTTATTTTCCCTTTTCTCTTTCATGCACTGGAGAAGGAAATGGCGACCCACTCCAGTGTCCTTGCCTGGAGACTCCCAGGGACGGAGTCTGGTGGGCTGCCGTCTACGGGGTCGCAGAGCCTGACGTGACTTAGCGGCAGCTTGTCTCTATCCTCAGTCTCTTCCTCTGGCTTATTACTGTCTTTGATCTCTGGCCTCTCCCTTCACGATACTTAAGAGGATAACATTATACTGTATACGATTCTTAGCCCAAATTATAATGGAGACATAAATAACCTCAACTTTCTATTTGGGACCTGAGAAAGAAGGGGGAGGACAAAATAAACACTTGAGTTAACCACCTGGAACCTGACGGGGCTCACAGGGACAGACCTGGATTAAAATCTAAACTTGCCCTTGCTGACTACGGCGGGACTGAGGGCAAGTTAACAGTTCAAAACTTCACGTTTTTCACTTCACAGAAAACACCTCTAATGTGTTACTATAAAGACACTGTATAGGGAGGGAGGTTCAAGACGGAGGGGGCATACGTATGCCTATAGCTAATTCATGCTGATACTTGGCAGAAAAGGGCCAAATCCTGTCAAGCAATTACCCTCCAATTAAAAAATAAATCAGAAAAAATAAAGTGTGTTTATGAAGCAGCTAGTACCTACCCTCACATCAGTGCTGGTTAGAGACTAACTGCTCCCACAGGCAAGTGCTGGAGGTATGAGTCAGCAGGGGTACTGCCCAACGAGCACAAGTAATCAACTAACTCACACATTCAAAGATACAAGACCCAGCTCGCTCTCGACATACCAGTCTCTTGTTATGTTCATATTCTTTCTTGACAAGCGCAGTAAGGAGGTCATGCCTTCTCAAGGCTTCTTCTATCTTTAAGTGGGATGGAAGGGAAGGGGGTTAATAATTCTGTTCACTAGATTATCAAGGATAAGCCCTGCATCTATTTGCTTTATATTTCTATGCTTAATTGACAGCTATCTTACTTCATCCTGGAGTTTCTTCTTTGATCGATTTTCTCTGTATGCATCTTTTTTGAGTTGTTCAACCTGTGCGATTTGCTGTTTCCACATTTTGCTTAGTGTTTGGCCAGAAACATAGAGAAATGGAAACTGCTCCAGCATCAGGGGCAGGAGACTGTGTTCATTCACTTTCACTGCAAGGTAAAAACAAATTTTTAATCTGAGAAACTTGCTGACAGCTTTTAAGAAGAAATCTCATTCAACCTTCAGTCAAAGCTTATCTAAGTGATATGGCTCTCAGCCTGAAAAGAACAAGTCTAAAAGTATGTTATTACTTTTGCATTCCTTCTTTGATTGGGACAAGCCAACTACTAGTAAGGATGAAAATAAGCTGAACATTTCTGACTGAGGAAATGCTGGTCTTATGAAGTCCATCCTAACTGCTCAGCTGATTCAGTGCCTGGGGTGGATGCTCTGTGTGTGGTCAAACAGACTCTCCAACCCTCCCAGGAGGGAAAGTCTGTGTCTACTAGGATGTAGTTAGAAGGTCAGTGGTCTCTGAAAACGCACCTCAGTGCCAACTCTCAATATACAGGAGCTGGATAGGCCCTCTGCTTACTTTGGAGCATCCCTTTGGTTCTACCAACTTCCCAGAAACAAAGAAAAGGCAGCCAGCACTTAGTGAACAGAGAGAGAAGCTGAGGTTGGAACAGCAGGTCATAGCCAGTGCATTCCTTTGTGCCAATGTATTGGTATATACTTAAGTGTTTTAAAGAAATGGCTCATTTAAGAGTTTTATCTCTACAAAAATTTAGCATACAGCAGCGGCAGAAGAGGGCACTTTGTCCAGCTCACTGGTAGATGTTAAGTTTTCAGTGCTGTGTCCTTGGCAGGCAGTGTGCACTTTCAAAGGATGCCAGTTTTCCATAAAGTACAATTTTGTGGTTCTTACTTGGAACTGTTTTATTTGGCTTTGGCAAGACACCTCTTGGACTTGGAGTTGTGGTTTTTCGAGAGTAAATTTTCCAGGGTTGACTTTGTTTTGGAGTTCCTTTATGAACAGCTCCTCTGTGTATTTTTTTCTTAGACATAAAACAATAGAATGAGAAGTCTAATAGCTCTTTCATATATCATCTTAAATATTACATATCAGCAAAAATAGTCAAAATAATTTCCAACCAAACTACCTTACTTCAGACTTCTAAAATTTGGTTAGTATTTACCTACTTTAACTTAAATACCTCTTTAGTTTCTGGCAGCCCTTGGAGTTTGAAAAAGCACTGAATCTTATTCAAGTTTCACAGTTGCCATAGTCCTACCCCCTAAATACAACAAATGACCATGTTCTGATGTGCTTGCTTCTTTGACAGTCTTTTCCATGTAGATTACAAAAGTTCTAAAACAATGTTTAGTTATAACCATACTATATTCTATATCCTGGTCTGTGAACATTTTAGCATAAGCATTTTCTTCCCTGCTTTCATTTAGCTTCTGTAACTATTCTTTTGAAAGGCAATGAAAACTTATGCTTTGGGTTTGTTCCAACCAAGCTCAGAACTAGGATTTTCTGTCTTCTCTTACTCTCCCTCTTTAACTTGTCAGCCCAGACTGTCTTCAAAGCCTTGGTGAACTGATAAAACAATAGAAGCCCTTAAAACTGACTGAAGTTTCAGGCAGGCAGGAAAAAATACTAGTATTTCTGGTACCACATTTTAGCAGCTTGGTCACCCTATGAATAAAAGAAAATCCACATCCATGAAATGAAATTCTGCTTTTTTCTAAGAGGCTAATGATTAAGGTTCTGTTGATTCTTTTTTCCTTTTAAAAAGATCATCTCTGTACTTTCCACTGATCTGATCAAATGGCATTTATTACAGTAGAGACTTTTACCCACTGTTTCCTCCTCGTCATTTATTCCTAGAGGTCCAATATTCTCTTGAACTTTATTTCTTCTTAGTTCCTTTTCAAATGCCTCGGTTATTGCCTACAGGGGAAAAGGCCGTGTGATATTATAGTTATTAAAAACATACAAATGAAAATGAAGAAAAAAAATCTACCTAAGACTGCCATTCGAATCATTTTTTAAAAGTTCCTTTCAGGCTACTGATCAATAAATATATATTATTTAACAGATACTAACTGAGACATAAACTTTACCTAATGTTATTTTTTTGTTCCCACAGTTTATAATTATTTTGATACATTCTTGAATGGAAGTTACATGTTGAATTACATACTGAGTTAGTTTTCACCATGATAAAACATACTATAGCAATAAACTTAAGTGTTCTAAGTTTATGCTACACTTCAAAATCACTATTCACAGCAGAAAGTCTTCCTCAGTAATCATACATTCTCCTGTTGAACCCTAACCACTTCCTTTCATTCCTTTCTTGGGCATTTTCATCTTATCTGTAACTCAAATGGTCTGTCACATTTAATCCACCTCAAGTTCTCTTTATTTCTAAACCTCTCCCTTAAAATATGAGTCTACACTGATACACTTTCTTAATCCACTGGAGCACTGGATTATATAAGGTTAGTTTTCTTAAAGTTTCAGGAGTACAAGTTTTATAATGGGGGACATAAAAGCCATGTCACATGATTTTGTCACCCACTCAGCTCAAGAATCTTAAATGCATTTTATGCCTTTAATCAACAGCATGTTCACTGTAGCATCTGGCTGAGGGTAAATAATGGTAATACCTGCTGCCTAGTAACAGTCAAGAGATAGGATATACCTTTGCTTGAAATCGGCGGACATCTGTTTCTTTTGGTTTTCGCTGCCTTTTTCTCTCTACCTGGAATTGTTTGTTTTTGTTAACTGGCGATGGAGAGAGTGAATGAGATCTGGAGGGTGCCCTTCTATGCATGGCAAGTCCTGCAGCACAAGAGAGACATGTACCGTGAGTTTCTGAGAGCTAGAAATGTTAAGCTGGCACCAAATGATTGATTCTCACTGAATCCAAAGAGACTGTGAATGTACTAAATGTACTCTCCTCTAATTTCTATTTGTATGTTTAATCATACCAAGCAAACAGACAAATGCACAGAAATATGTACTCAAAATGTTTCAAAAAAGTACTAAATTTCTATATTCACTTTTGGGTTGAAAATGGAGCAACATGTGGAATGCCTGCTGCACACAAAGGCCTATACTACTTGGTGGTGGAGAGAGGAAAAAAAAAGTTAAACCATCCGAGCGGTGTGGAGCGGTGTGTCTGCTAACCTTTTACCTAAGTAGGTCCTGAGAAGGGAGATCTAAGTGTGTATGTACACACACACACACACACACACACACACCCCTTACCCTTATAAAGCAACACCTTATACACAGAAGTTATTTAGCATTTTTAAGCAGTCCTGTTCTTCCCTAGTGATCCAGCCCCCATATTCCACACTGCCTGCGAGATCTAACAAATTACTTCCCTCCACATACTTTTTTATGTCCATTGTTTATAGACACTTAGGAATCTGCTAGTTGTGAAGAGGGGGGCTCTGTGCTTTTTAGGAAAAGCAAATAATTCAACACAGCTCTGACATCAAGGAAATTTGAAAGGTTTGATAACTTTCTAAATAAAATTTTCCAGAGAAGTGTCCTTGAGCTTTTGTCTCTTTACTCTCTTAATTTAAATCTTTCAAGTTAACTAACTTGCACAATCTATTTTAAATGGTGTTTTAATAACATTTTTACTATGTCTACAATGTATTCTTCTTTAGAAACTGAAGATCCAATAAACGTAACATTTTAACTTACAATGTGTTTTCTAAATGGTATATGATGTACACTTATACCCTAAGGGAAACAGGCACATTACAGGATGAGGGTTCCTAGAGGTTACCTTGGCCAAATTTCAGGGAAGAGAGAAAATAATCAAGACAAGGAAAAGGTATTCTTAAAGTTAAAAAAAAAAAAACCTGAAAAGTTAAGGAAATTCTGGATGAGAAATGGACTGTTTCTAGAGAAACAAGGGATGACCAAAGTAGATAAAAATGAATGCAAAACATGTAGAATTTTAGTTGCTGGAAAATGGGATAATTATTTGAACAAGCAGTAGGAAGTATCTGCAAGGATGTGGCAAACTGGAAACTGTCATGCACTGCTCATGTAAGTACAAATGTGTGCGATCACTTTGGAGGGGAATTTAGCAATGGTAAGAAAGTGCAAACCCCTGATCTACCAATTCTAGTAGGTGTGGATCCCAGAGAAACTTCTGCACATATTAAAGTTGTTCATTGCAGAAGTATTTGTAGTTATGAAATCAGGAAGCAAAAAAAGTCCACATACACCTAAATAAAAATACACACATATAAATGAGATACACTGTATGAAATCAGTGAAAAGTGTCAGTCACTCAGTCATGTCCAACTCTTCGCGACCCTACAGACTGTAGCCCACCAGGATCTTCTGTCCGTGGAATTCTCCATGCAAGAATGCTGGAGTGGGTAGCCTTTCTCTTCTCCAAGGGATCTTCCCAACCCAGGGATTGAACCCAGGTCTCCCACATTGCAGGCAAGATTCTTTACTCTCTGAGCCACTAGGGAAGCCCTGAGAATACTGGAGTGGGTAGCTATTCCCTTCTCCAGGGGATCTTCCCAACCCAGGGATTGAGCCTAGGTCTCTTCTGCATTGCTGGCAGATTCTTTACTATCTTAGTCACCAAGGAAGAATGAACTCGGTTACACAGTAGTTATAATGAGTGAACTAGAAGTAGGAACAGATTTCTGAAACAATGTTAACAGGAAAAAAAAAAGTTGCAGAATTATATATTATCTATGTAAATTTTAAAAAATAGCATATTTAGACAGGTAACACAATGCTGAAAACAGGTGAAATGGGAATTGGCTGTGTGACTCAGGAACTTAAACTGGGCTCTGTAACAACCTGGAGGGGTGGGATGGGGAGGGAGGTGGGAGGGAAGGTCAAGAGGGAGGATTCATGTTGATGTTTGGCAGAAATCAACATACTATAAAGCAATTATCCTTCAATTAAAACATTAAAAAAAATTTTTTTTAAGTAAAAAGACAGGAGTGAGAGGGTTCCAGTTCAAGATGGTAATATACAGGCTCCTGAATTCATTTCCTCCAGAGACACTAACATATACTACATATGGAATAATTTCCTCTGAAAAGAATCTAGACAGTAGCTGAGTGACTGAAATGACAAAAAACCCACATCAAAAAGGGTTAGGGCACACCCTCAACTGCCAGGAGCCATAAGAATGAAGAAAGTGGCTTGGACAACCACAGGTCTGAGAACCAACCAGGAGCGAGGGGATGGGCTGAAGGCGAAGAGTCCTCTCCTGTGCAAGACTGCTCCTTCAGGACTGAGAGAGCGGCTGTCCTACACACTGCTCAGAAACCAACACAAAGGCAGGAAACTGAAGAAACAGTAAATATGTTCCAAACAAAAGAACAAGATAAAATTCAAACAGATCGTGATGAAATGCATACAGGCTTTACCTGGCCTTGGCTTCTTCGGTCCATACTCCACAATGCCATCACTGTGCTGAGACAGTGTCTCATCATTTCCACTTTCCACCTCTTCATTTCCAATATTCTCCTCTTCGGAGCCAGTCTTTTCTTTCATTCGATCACCCAGGGCACTTTTTAACATCTATCAAGAAAATCCTTTTTAACATCTGTTACTGATTTCAGCAGAATGCAAGTTGCAAGGATTAGACAGATATAACCTTCTAAAAGCTTTCTCTGATAATTAGGCACAGGTTCAGACACAAGTTTTCAAACGCTTATGCAGAGTTTTTAAAGGATATTTATCAGTGCCACAGACTATCAGTTTCAATAACCTTAAGAGTAAGTCACATAGGGACTTAATATATTTAATCAATGATATCCCCAAACTACAGTATTTTATTTTTTGAAAATCAGAGCTCATCCAATTTTATACCAAAATGTCTTTAGTGACAAAGAGAAATAATACATATGCATCTAAGTATATATGGTTTAATGTTATCATGTTATTTAATCAGAATTTGATAAAATTTGGATGAATATGTACCAAATCTGGTTATATCATAAAAGGCTAGGAGATAATTTCTCAGCCTGTGTCCCCCATCTGCTTGACTTACAGAAGATTTTCACAGTAACTAAGATAAAATTAACTTTCTAGTTCATTAAGCTTAGCTCTCACCTTAGTTGGAAAATCACTTAAATGTTCACCAACTATGGCAATTTCCAGGTAAGAAAAAAATAAGACTTGCCGAATCTAGTTCAGAAAGGCGCTGAGACAGTTTCTCTGATACTGCATGTAATTCTTGTTCTGTGAACCTTTTTCCTGCCCTCTGGGAGAAAGGTGAACCCCAGGATGAGCCTGCAGCTCTGTTTTCATATCTGTAGTAAAAAGTGATATGACATTTAAATAGACAAGCGTGCATTACTTAGTTCAGAACAACTGTAATACATGCTTTGCCAAGTATTTCATACTGGCCTTCACAGCTAAATCTGGAGCGTATACCCTTAACTCTTCAAATCCCTTTGCAGACAATCTGTCAACACTGAAGCCTGCAGTACTATTACCTTTTTCCTCTGGGAAGTTTCCTTATCCCAGGGCCTTGGTGCCGAGCTGAATACATTTCCTGTTTGCTATCTTCAGACAACTTGGAAGTTAAGGAAACTCTATTGTCTGGTTCCTATTAAAAACAAAGGAGAGTTGATTTGAAAAAGATATAGAGAAGACATTAAAAAACAACATATTGTGTGTGATGGGAAGGGAGGACCTGTGACAGAAAGCTAGCTCCCTTTATTCTTCATGTTTTGCTTTTTTAAAAACCCCATTTGTCAAAACACTCTACTGATCACCAATGCCAAAGGAATAGAGCAATGTCTGTAAACTTGTCCTCAAAGAAAAAGCATGGCTCAGGATGTCATTCAAATATAAAGGCAAGTGAGGTGGTCTCAAATATGAAAATTTATAGAGATTATGGCTATACCTGGACAGTGAAAAAATGATCAAATCACAAGTGGAAAGTATTAAAATCATCTTCTTTCATATGAAGAAGTCAACAGAAACTGTTCAAAACAAACAGGCAAAACCTCTAAAACATGAATATAAATTCAACATTTTAAACAATTTATATCTTGTGTTTTTTTCCATTTATTTTAATTAGTTGGAGACTAATTATATCTTAACTTTGGAGGGAATCTTATGGAAAGTATTTCTTGTAGTTAAGAAACATTTGATGTTTTAATTATCTCTTTAATTTCACTTCAGTATCTTTTTCTTCTATTAAAGGAAAATTAAATTTAATACCTTTAAGTAAAAACTATATTATAATCACATTAAAAAAAAACCTTTTAAAAACTGAAGTTAGTGTCCCTCTCAAGAACAGGTTCAAAATGATTATTCCCATTTAACTGCCACCCAGTAAAGAAAGAGTATTACCAACAACTCAGAAGCCTTTCTACCACTCTTGCAAGCCCCCTCAAAGTCATCACTAACCTATGATCCCTTTCTCTCTTTATCCGTTCACCCTCCAATATAAACTGATGCTCAGAATGTTTAGAATGACGGTCACCTAATGCTAACTTACTTTTTTGGTATTGTTTCAATTTTTAACAATGACAGTGTATCATTTTAAAAATACATTTACCCTTGGCATATACATATACCTTGGCATATACCTGTTGCTGGGAAAATAGGAACGTGATGACTGTATAAAAAAGGCTTTTATTTTCAAAGAAAAGAGTAGATGTGAATAGGCCAGAATGTTAATAGTAGTTCATGCTGGATTAACAGGAATATGGCTGAAAGATTATTTTTTATACTTTCTTTTATGTTAAATAATTTCAGTTAATAAATTAGATACATACAATATGGATTCTGAAGCTAGAATGCCTGAATTCTAATCCTAATTCTACAACTGCTGTGTGACCTCAGACAAGATTCTTAAACCCTGTATTTCACTTTCTCCATAAGAAATAAAAATAGTATCTACTTCAGAGCTGTGTTGTAAGAAGTAACTTATCCAATATTTGTAAAGTATGCAGAACTGTGCCTAACACAAAATAAGCACTCAGTATGTGCTGGCTCATCCTATTTCCCCTTTTACAGTCATCCTGTCCCTATCTTCCTAGGGTAAGAATGTGCAGGTGTATGCAGAGGTGAATTTTAAGAAGTACAGTGCTCTCTGGTTAGTGCAGTATTCTTGACTACTATTCTAGCAGAGACCTTTTAAATAAATCTATAGACTATGGTCCAGCTGAAAGCAAACTTTTCCACTTACCACAGAAAATGCTGTGCCTTCTCCGGTAGAATTCATGGGAGGGGAGCAGTGGCTTGAACGCAAGTATTCTCTTCCTATGGGGCAGGGAGCGCGAGGCTCTGAAGGGTGGTAAGGTGGATGCAAAGGAACAGCTGACCGGATGGGCTCCCCTAACTTCCTAGCACTTGGAATCACATCCACAGAAGAAATTCCTGCTAGTTGGACAAATTAAAGTAGATAAGACATAAATCCTTTCACATATACATATACACTATACAAACAAATGTACACACACACTACTTAGAAATATATTTTAAACTTGATTTTAAGAAAAGCACACCAAAAAGACAATGGAAATAGGGACTCATTCTCAATGAACAAGTAGGGACCTAATTAAATTAGGAAGAATGTAATTTTTATTATATTTTCCTAAAAATTTATTTAAAAATAATGAAAAATTACTAAAAACCTAAATGGTTTGAAGAATAGCTATATAAATTATGGTTCATCTATTTGTTATAAAAAGTTAGCCATTAACTATGACTTTATGTAATACTAACTGTATGAAAATCCCAGAGATAATATGAAATGAGAATATTTTTCAAGTTAATATAATTCGAAGACCACCAACTGATAAACTAATGTATCAGAGACTCTTACTGTCCTAAAGTCTTTGAGAGGATTTAGATAATAAAATAGTGGATGCAAAACATATGACCAAAGACCATCTTAAGACATCCAAGTTCATAATTAATAGTAAACATTTACAAATGAGGTCATGTAAAACCAAAAAGAATCACATTTACTGTAGAGCAACAAAAGTAAAAAGGCTAATAGCAACTGCTCACAATCTACGATCTCCAGCTCCCAGCCACAGTCTCAAGAACTCAGTGTTACTACTCACTGTCTTCAACAAAGGATGTCCTACTCTTGGACAGAAAACTAGAGGGAGGATTCAATACTTCTTCTTCTTGTGAGCTAGAACATGGTAGGGTTGAGGATTTTTTAGACTGCATTTCATTAGGACCTTGGGCACCTAGAAAATATTAAAGGTAAAATTTTTTTATTGCTGTTAGACTAAAAGCTAAAAGTTTAGTACCTTGAGGATAAAAATATCAGAAATGACATAAATCATAGAACTATGTTGGTCTGATTGCTTGAAATACCAAATACTTTTTCATAACTAATAGCAATATGTAGTTTTGTAGCCCAGAATCATTTATGTAACTTAAAAGCAGTTTTACACAATGCTTCATTCCCCTGCTTTAGAAAAATAGGGGGCAGAGTTGTAGAAATGCCGACTGTTGCACAGGTGTATCTCTGAGCTAGAAGTCTTGGTTGGAACCATAATCAAAGATTTATAGGTCAAACAAATGTTCTGATTTTTTTCTTTTAAAAAAATATTTATTTTTATTTATTTGGATGCCCCAGGTCTTAGTCAGGCCATGTGAGATCCAGTTCCCTGACCAGGGAATGAATCCTGGCTCCCTCCATTGGGAGTGCAGAGTCTTAGTCATCGGACCACCAGGGAAATCACGTTTTGTCTCATTTTTGAATGGTTAATATTTTGAATCAGCGCTATAATATTATGATATAACATAGAAAGCTATATTAAAATAGTTCTGAAATTGAGGAAATACCACTTTGCTGCCTTGGAAATCTGTAATACACAAACTCCCCATAAACAAAATGGATTTCCCCTTTTTTTGATGGAATTTCTCCTAAAAACTCATGGTTAGTTATCACCAAGAACTTCTGTCAGAGTGAAAGTTACACATTTAATTATCTCTCAACTTCAGATTGTTTTAGAACCTACTGTTTTATCACTGCAGAGACTGTGAACTTCTCTATTTGTAAACATTAATAATATTTCAATTAGGGATTTCCCTGGTGGCCTAACAGTTAAGATTCTGGACTTTTACTGCTGCGGTGGCCTGGGTTTAACCCCTGATCAGGGAACAGAGATCCGGCAAGCTACATGGCACAGACAAAAAAAAACTATGTAAGTATTTATATAATAAATACATAACATTTCATTTACAAAAAAAAAGGTCCTCAGTAGAACAAACGAGGGAAGATAGAAGTACAAACTTCCTGTTATACAGTAAATAAATCAGGGGATTTAACGTACAGTAACTAAAAGTGTTAGTTGCTTAGTCATGTCCGACTCTTTGCCACCCCACAGACTGTAGCCCACCAGGCTCCTCTGCCCATGGAATTCTCCAGGAAAGAATACTGGAGTGGGTAGCCACTCCCTCCTCCAGGGGATCTCCCCAACCCAGGGATGGAACCTGGGTCTCCAGCACTGCAGGCAGACTCTGTACTGCTGAGCCACCAGGGCAGCCCCAGTGTACAGTACGCGGACTACAGTTAATACTGTGCTGTCGGGGCAGTGCCCTGGGCACCAGAAGCCTGCTCCTCTGGAAGGAGTCTAGTTCACGCCACCTGTAAAACAAACCCAGCTTACAGAGGCCTCACTACCGCGTCCCCAACTCAAGTCACAGAGCAGCATGCCTTGGCCAGTTTGCATCATGATGAGATCCTGCTGTGTATCTTATTACAAGGTGCTTAGGAAGGGATTTCTCCTTACTCACGGAAAAGGTATAAGGAAGGGAGGATGGCCAAGATGCCAGAGTACAAAGACTCTGAACTCACTTCTTCTCATAGGCACACCAAAACCACAACCATCTGCTGAACAGTTGATTGAAAAGATAGGAACCTACCAAAAAACTTCTATAACTAAAGACATCAAGAAGGAACCACAGCGAGATGGTAGGAGGCACAGACTTGCAATATAGTCAAGTCCCATACCCCAAGGTGGGTGACCCACAAACTGGAGAATAATTACATTGCAGAGGTTCTCCCAAAGGAGTGAGCTCCCTGGCCTGAGGGTCCTGCACTGGGGAGATGAGCCCTCAGAACATCTGGCTTTGAAGGCAAGTGGTGATTACTTTTAGGAGTCCCAAAAGGCTGCAGGAAAGAAATTTCATTCTTAAAGGGCATACACAAAATCTCTATTCTGGGACTGGGGACAGAAGCAGTAATTTGAGAGAAGCCTAGGCCAGACCCACTTCCTGAATTCAAGAGTCTCCTGGTGAGACAGGTGGCAGCTGCAGCTCACCCCGGGTACACAGACCCTGGTGGCAGCCATTGTGAGGAACTCCTTCTACCACATGGACCTTGGTGCTGGCATGCATTATTGTTGAATCCAACCTCTAGCTTATTAGCACTAAGACCTGGCCCTACCCAAAGCCTGTAGGTACCAGTGCTGGGACACCTCAGGCCAAGCAACTGAGCAGGGACACAGCCCCACCCATCAACCGACAGGCTGCCTTAAGACCCCTGGACTTCACCCACCAGTGAGCATGCAGCAGTTCCAAGATCTAGATTCGCTGGCCCTGGCCCTGACCTCAAGGGAGCCTGCTCTAGCCTCTGGACCAGTTTCTCCCACCAGGGGGCAGACATCAGACACAAGAAAACTAGTCCTACAACATATGGATCAGTAGGCCAGACCCCTCACTGGGACAGCTGGACCCAGCCCTGGCCACTAGCAGGCCAACACAAGCTTCAGGGCACCCCAGACCCTGTACCCAGCTGTGCCAGGAACCGTCCACACCCAGCAGTCAGACACCAGCTCCAGGAGCCCTGGGCTCTGCAACCAGACTCCAAGACTAAGACAGCACTAAGCCAGGATCTGGTTTCCCCCACCAACCGGCAGGAAACAGCTGTGCAGCCTTCAGTCTGACTCCACCCGCCACTGAGCCAGCACTAACCCCGGGGGTCTCTGAGGTTACGCAGTCAGCCACCCTGTGACCAGCCAACCAGCAGCTGGCAGCCTCAGCACAAGGCAGGGCCTGGCAACCAACTGGACCAGGGGCCAACAAAGCGGAGCAAATAGCCCACCACAACCGAAGGCCCCATGCAGTCCTCACAGGGGCAACCGCTGGAGCATACAGCTCAGGGGACCAGCGGGGGACATACTGCTGGGAGGCACAGGGCATTTCCAACAAAAAGCCATTTCTCCAGTAGGGAAACATAATCAATGTACCAGACACATAAAAATAAAAACAGCAACTTAGGCAAAATGTGGTGACAGAAGAACATGTTCCAAACAGAGCAACAAGGTAAAACCACAGAAGGAGGTCAGGGTAATGATTGTATAAGATGATCGAAGAACTCGAGAGAACAATGGCTGCACAGAATGAGAAGCTAGAAGTTTTTAACAAAGAGAAAATAAAGAGCAAAACAGAAATGAAGAATAACTGAAATGAAAAATACACTAAAAGGAATTAAAGTAGACTAAAGGATATAGAGGAATGGATCAGCCAGCTAGAAGAGAGTAGCAGAAATCAGTGACACTGAATGAATTTTTTAAAATGATAAGAAATGACAATACTTTAATAGATTTCTAGGACAGTATCATGTGCACTAATACTCCCATTGTATGGGTGCCAGGAGGAGAGAGAGAGAAAGGAGCTGATAACATATTTTAGGACATAATGACTGAAAACTTCCCTCACCTGGGAAAGGGACAGATATCCAAGTCCAGGAAGTGCAGGAAGCGCTACAAGACAACTCTCGTTCTAGGGGTGAAAATTACAAACTGCTCCTGTTACTAAAAGCAATGAGGGAGAAGAAACAAGGGGACTCCCTCAAGGCAATGTGCTGACTTCTCAGGAGAAACTGCAGGCCAGAAGGGAGTGACAGGCTATATTTAAAGTGATAAAAGGGAAAAACCTACAACCAGGAATACTCTAGCCAGAAAGACTCTCATTCAGATTTGATGGAGAGATCAAAAGCCTTACAGACAAGCAAAAACGAAGAGTTCAGCATCACCAGACCAGTTTTAAAACAAATGTTAAAGGAACTTCTCTGAATTAAAAAAAAAAAGGCTATAAGTAGAAACATGAAAATTATGAAATGAAAAAGTTCATTAGTACAGGCAACCATACAGAAAAGGTAGGAAATCATCCACACACAAAGCTAATAAGGTTAGAAGACAAAAGTAGCAAAATCATGAATAGTCACAATAAGGAACTGTCGTTTAGATGCCGAGTCGTCTCCGACTCTTTTGCGACGCCATGGACTGTAGCCTACCAGGCTCCTCTGTCCATGGGATTTCCCAGGTAAGAATATTGGACGGGGTTGCTATTTCCTTCTCCAGAGAATCTTCCTAACCCAGGGGTCGAACCTGTATCTCCTGCACTGGCAAGCAGATTCTTTACCACTTAGCCACTAGGAAAGCCCAGTAGGGATCCACAAAATAATTAGATATAAAATATAACATCAAAAGCAATAATTGTGAGGGGAGGAGAGTACAAATGCAGGACTGTTAAAAAGGACTTGAAAGTGAGAGATCAACAACTTAAAACAATCATGTATATACACAGATTGCAATTAATCTATGACAAGACAAAAAATACAATAGAGAAAAGACTGTCTCTTCAATAAGTGGTGCTGGGAAAACTGGACAGTTACATATTAATAAATGAAACTAGAACATTTTCCCACACCATATACAAAAATAAACTCAAAATGGATTATAGGTCTCAATGTAAGACGAAAATAAGACCAATGTAAGATAAAACTCCTAGAAGGACATACAGGCAGAACACTTTTTGAAACAATCGTACCAAGACCTTTTTGGATCTATCTCCTAAAGCAAAGGAAATAAAAGCAAAAACAAACAAATGAAAGTGAAATCAAACAAATGAGACCTCATTAGACTTAAAAGTTCTGCACAGCAAAGAAAACCATCACAAAAAGACAACCTTTAAAATCAGAAAACATCTGCTAATGAGATGACTGATAAGGGGTTAATATCCAAAGTATATAAATAGCTCATACAACTCAACATCAAAAAACCAAACCCCAATTTAAAAATGGGCAGAAAACCTGAACATTTTCCCAAAGAAGACACAGAGATAGCCACAGGTACATGAAGAGACTCTCAGTACTGCTAATCAGAGAAATGAAAATTAAAACCACAATGAGATTATCACCTCACACTTGTCAGAATGGCTTATCAAAAAGATC